TGAATCACACAGCCTGCTGGTTAAGGTAGGTAGCCGGTAATTGCGTGCAAAGCACCATCCCATCCACATCGCCCTACAGTTTTTCATTTCCATCCCTCCCATTTATTTGCTTCATTGTCTCTCGTCTCACCGCACCTTCTTTCATATATATTTATTTTATTACATTATATTTTCAGTTTTTCACTCTTTTAAATTAAGCTTCTTGCTTCTCCTCATTGCACTCCTTCTTTTCGGCAGACTCTCTACTCGCTCGCCCATTTTCCAATCCCTCCTGCAAAGTCCCGCCTCCACTCCCTGGCGAGACTGGCCCTGGCTTGCCTCAACTTGGGTGGCCCCAAAGCGGCCTGGCATGGAGACCCTAGCGTCATCTTTAGTGCCTTAGCGAAGGGCCCCACCGGCGCTAGAAGCAGCAGCTTTCAGGGGTTGCCTCAACGTCGACGCTGGATTAATAAGGCCGATGGCGGGACACGATTTTGAGGCCGCTTGGCTTGGAGCATATCGAAACAACAAGAATAACGTTGAGCGCCTCATTTTTTTTTTCTGACGCCCGCGTGTTTCTCACATGTTTGGTGCAACTCAGACAGCAGTAGTTCTGCTTTTGTTCCTACTCCTCTGATCCTCCATCATCCCGCAAGGGGCTAACACTGTGTTGGCTGGCTGATCACAGATGGCTCACAGTATTGCCTGTTTGGTCAATACATAAATGTACATTGTCAACACTCCTTCACGTCACGCCTCCACTCCATTCGCATCCGCACTCCTGCACGGAGCTCGGAGTATTCTATAAATAATGACTGATGTGCAGAACTTTACTAGGAAAGAAGCACACCGGAAAATCGCATCAATCGGCCGAGCCAAGGCTGCCCAAAGTGGCAACCCTGATATCGGGAACTGGCGCTATCAACGCTATGCGGAGACGCGGCGCTGGATGGCGACGATGTCTAATACAGATTACATACTTACAAACTGCGTGGAAGATAAGAAAAGAAAAGAAAATCTCTTTAGCTGGAGTTGAATGGAGTTTGCAGCTCGGGGTAATTATACTTGCAAGTCGCTAACACGGCCGTTGAGGAGAACCTGACTCAAGGCACAGGGCTGTTAATCTCTGGAAGCAACGTGAGAGACACGAGACAAAACTGCTAGCCTCGCAGACTAGTAGCATATGCGGCGCTCATTTGCTCCACGCGCCAGGGATCAGGGCACAACGACAATCTAGGCGCATCAGGGTCTTTTGCCATGTCTAATAACAGTCGTCGTCTCAAGTTAGATTTCGGTTTTTGCCTCCCAAGAAAAGTAGCTTTTTGATGGAAACGGAACGACGCGTCCGATGCTCTGCATAATGAACTGGCGTCGAACAGTAGAAAGCCCGCCACAGCTCACACTGGCGGCTATCTCATCGGCGCGTGCTGCCGCACCGACCAGCAGCCACCCGCTGCAAAGTATGGCGCCTTCGAGGTTTCAATGTCTTAATTGAACCGTGCTTTTGTCGTTGCTTTGGGGCTGACTGTTAATCCAACCTCAGCTATGGCGGTTTAGCACCGCTGTGTCGCCCCGGCGGTGATCCTTTAAGGCGGGCGACTGATCCCAAGGCAAGCCAATGCTTGTAAGTCGAGCAAAGGCTTCTCCATGCACGTGGTTTTATTATAATTGCACGCATAAGGCTTGCAACGCACCCATTCCTTGATCAATTGCTGTGATTGACCACGTCTCGGATTCGCAGATCCACAGCTCGCTAACCCAAGTCCCGAGCCGGGATGGCCTCCAGCCCCGGCCCCTCGTGGCGTTTTCCACGGCTCTGCAGGCAGCTGGAGCCAAGAGGGGACTTGTTACAGAAGGTTGACTTTTGTTTCGTTTCAATCCGATGACTGGCTTGCGCTAATAGTAATAGTACCTACTGCCCGCTGTTGCCACCAACTCCAACCACTGCTGGTATCATGTGCTGCTGTAGAATCCTAGTCCCGCCTCGCTTCTTCAACACAATAGCCTACTACTCCGCATTCTTCGTGCAGAAGCGCCTTGTAGGCAGCAAGCGAAAGAGCGCGGTCTCTCATGCGGCCCTTGTGGCGAGCAGAAACCAGCCACTGACGAAGCTGAAGCTCAGCACTGGTGAAGGCGTTGCTCTTTGTCGCTTATCTCAATCGCTTGGCCCTTGTATTGTCATCGTTTGGCATCGGCAGGCGGCTTAGGCCAGTTGGTGAAGATGGCGCTGCATTAGCCGATTTGCTTGCATTGCTTGACCGTTGATTCGGGGAAAGTCGAGTAGACGTAAAGATTTACTGCATGTACTGTACCTACCTACTGGCCATAAAGCGGCTTGCGACACAGTATCTCGCACCCGCCTCTTTGGTATCTCACAACGGAGATGTGCGAGAGCACAGGGTGCCTATTTGAGCAGCCTATTTGAGCATGTACAGAGACACAATGCATGATAGTCACATTTTCTTTTTCATAGCAGTGTTACGCTACAGGGCTTGGGTGCCTCTATCTTGTCTATCTACCTGCCTGAAGAGCTCATGCTGACTGCATAGTCCCTCCCAGAGCTAACTCTCGAGTTGCACTCCTGCAACCGCATCAACACCCTGATATAAACCTACCAATGGGAGATGCAAATGCCGCGGAGTTTATTTGGCCATTCTGTAGTATTCTCAATAAGGCGCCGGCCCGCAGCTGTATGCCAGGGGAGCTCCGACTGTTGCGTTAGCTATAAGCAGGGACAGCGGCAGTTGAGCGATACATGGACTACATCTCCCGGCAGTGTCAGATGATTGATACGCATAGTAGGTGATGGACACGCCCAAGCTTTCCATCAAAGATGCACAAAGGCTCACCGATAAGGGTATACAACAACAACAACAACAACGAGAGCTACAGTATTATACCATAGGTATGGCCATCCCGCATCTCACCGCGTACAGAATACCCTCGAAAGGATCTCATCCTCTTGCGCCCAACTCAAAGGACCCCAACCACCAAGATCGACGGCACGGACAGCTAGCGGATGACTCCGCGTCGGGATGCAACAGGACCGGTAACGTGCAGTTCCCCATACTATACCGGCTTACCTCGATTAGTAGCATCACTATCCTTCCGCAAACAGGGAGGCCTAGAGAGGATCGTGACGTGTGGTGAGACGAGCGCAAAGTTGCTCCCCGACGCATCGCGCAATGATCGTTTTGGGGCTGTCAGCTCGGCGATTCCCGTTACGGCGCTGTTCCGCGGATGCTCGGCGATCAATTTGCATTGGTTAGTGACCGAATCCTACGGCATGGCAATGGCCTGCTGAAGGCTCCGATGTGGACACATATCTTTCCGAAGGGCTGCTTGCCCTGTGACACATTTAGTTGTAGGTGGTATTGCAAGGGGTGAGGCCTGTAGTGATGAGATGTTGGGTGGTAGGTGCATGTAGATATACGCCTCAGTCAGAGCCGCCCTTGTGGTTTTTACTGCCTCGGTGGTCCAGAAAATGTATCAGGCATACTGATAATTGATTTGATGCCTTACGAGTGAAATTATAGTATAAGAACACTGATAATCTGTTAATGAACTCATATTATGGCAGAGTATTCTGAACAACTGTTGCATCTATGAGATTGAATCTCTTGCATCAGTTGACGCTCGACTTTTTAATACTCTCCATGTAGATGAAATGATTTTTTCGTAGAACAGTACATAGTACATCAACAGAAAACTACCATCTTGCTACTATCCAAGACTTGATAAGTCATAAGTAGTCTATTACTCGTATTTGACGACGAAAGATGCTCGTCAGAGTCGGATGCCGTAATCTCCTCTTAAAATACTACAACGGCGTCGAGGGAAAAGTTAACCAATGGTCCCGTTTCATACTGACATTGTCAGTAAAGAACTTGAAACATCACTGAAAAGAAAACAAGGCTCCAGTCTGTTCGATAAGAACGAGGTTGGAAAGCTCGGAAATAACTTTGCACAATTCTGCAGCTGGTCGTTGCAGATATCACAACACGGCCAGCAAAAACTACTGGATGGAGCATACTTCAACATGCCGCTCGCCTTGGACTGGATTGTATGGTGTATGGTCCGATATTTTCTAAGGAATGAGGCAGAAGATTTACTTCTTAGCTTTAAATTCAATTACTAAACCGAAGATCCTTGGCTATACCGACGATAAGTAGAGGGGAGTCTGCTGATACGTATTGGGACTCCCATATGTTAAAGTATTGTCTCTACGTTGATGGGTTGATTGGCTGTAGGTGATATTGTAATACAACTCTAGGCAGCTAATGGGATATTTAATGATGACGTTAATTAAGAAGCTGCTGGGTACTGGTGTTTGCACTTTGTGAGATGTAGTCTACCTCAAGTGCCGGCAAATAGAATACTGCACTACATGTCGTATAATGGGTGATATTTCCATTATTAGAATTTCGTTAGGGTAATAGACTAACACAACAACACCGCAGTCCTTGATACGGTGCGGAAATTGTGTGCATTTTATATGCCTTTGCAGAACGGTAAAGCTGGCACATGAAGCCGTATCACCAACAGCCACAGCCACATTAACGCCCTCAAATTCTGCATCAGTTCCATCTCGTAAAATTCTAGCAATAGATCCTGCATAAGGATTCAAGTGTGAAAATGGGCAAGAGAAAAAGAAAAGTCTAGGTAATTGCCTAATTTGCGTAAATCGCTATACAATAAAAAAAAGCCAAAAGCCCGATTTTGAATAGCTATTGTCTTCGCTCTCTCTCCCTATTGTTCTCTACAGCCAACACTCCACTAAATGCGGTTCTGTACTCTACGCTACAGATACTGTAATATCAATCATCAAACACATTAATTTACATCATCAATTCGTGTTTCTCTTCCGCTTTCTTGTTTTTTATGCATTTGACCGCAAGGGAGAAGTTGTTGCAAAAGTGTAACCAGCTGAGCTCTCTCCTCTTGATACCCTCATTTTCTCATACTTAACCCATTACAACGCCTCTACATCAAAAGCTGCAAAGAGAGCTATCCAAAGAATCATGGCCCTCAAATTCCGCCGCCCAGCTCTACCAATACAATGGCTCATCCCCCTCCTCGTCATCAACCTCTTCATCATCAACCTCGGCCTCTCAATCGCCAGCTACCCGGCCACGAAGCTCATGCAGGACATCATCTGCAAACACCACCTGGGCCTCACATTCGACGACCTCTTACCAGAATCGCAATGCCACGATAGAGCCGTGCAGCGAGAGCTGAATATTGTCGCGATTGGAGCGGCCGTCTCTGCCACAATTGCTGGTATGTCATGCTCCCTGTTTTTCTTCTCCATATATGATGATTTTTTAAACACTGGTAGCATAGGCGCTCTGGTGTCTCTCCCACTCGGTATGCTATCCGACAGGATTGGCCGAGTGCCCATCCTCGCGCTGAGCATTCTCAGCCTCTTCTTATCCGAGAGCTACTCCCTATTCATCTGCTGGAGATGGCGACAGATCCCCCTAAGAGCCATCTGGGGCTCCGGCGCCATCATACTCCTGGGTGGAGGACAGGGAGTTGCAGAAGCCATGGTCTTCACCAGCATCTCAGACGTGATCCCCGAGTCAAAACGGTAATACGTTTCCCCCCCTTACGCCTCTTCATGCATTCGCTAATTCCTCCCTGTTTTGCCATGTAGAGCAACATGCTTCCAATGGGTCGTCGCCGCTGTTCTCTCCGCCAACCTCTTCGGCCCCGTTATCGCCCGCCCTCTTACCGACATCTCCATATGGCGCCCTCTGTGCATCTCGCTCGCCCTCGTTGCCATCGGGGGCATCATACTCGTGACGCTCATGCCAGAAACACTCCACAGCCGTGACTCTCCCGCTCAAATCGGCGAAGATACGCCCATCATCCACAGCAACAACCATCACCACAACGACGACGACGACGACGACGACGATACCGCCTCACAAACACCAGTGGCATCTACCAAATCCACTCTCAAGGCCCTCCTCCGTCGTCCAGCCGTATACCTCCTCCCAGGCGCCATCCTCACCATGCCAGTCGTCTCAACGCAACACGGCATCCTCATGCGCCTCATGCCCATCCAGTTCGACTGGCCTCTTTCCCGAGCCGCGCTGCTCCTCTCTCTAAACGCCGCAGTCACTCTCCTCACACTACTCGCCATCCTGCCTTTAGCATCCTACGCTCTCTATAGGAAAACTTCGATTTCCGCTCTCCAACGAGACCGCATCCTCGCCCGCGCCAGTGTCATTCTCTTTGTTCTCGGTTCTTTTTTCCTCATGATGGTCAGCAAAGCCAGCCTCATCATCATCGGCGTTGTTCTATCTGGCCTTGGATCTGGTGTGCCGACTTTGTGCCGCACGCTGCTCGTGGCTCTTGTAGGCAAGCATAAGACTGGGTCTGTCTTTGGAATAATTGCTGCTGGAGAGGTCTTGGGAATACTAGCATGCGAGCTGATTATTGGTCCGCTCTTTGATATCGGTCTCGGGACATGGCTTGGTCTGCCTTTTTGCCTTGGCCTCTTCATCTCAGCTTTGACATGTTCGTTGACCTGGTTGGTTCGCAAGGCTGACGAGCAATCTTGATTAGCTCCTGATATAAAGGAGGAGCCGAACAAGCATGACAAGACAAATCTTTGATAAACAATCACTTCGGGGGGGGATCATGAGCCATACGCATTAGACATTAACTAGAACAGCAGGCGCATTTCTGTTGTCTGACATCACTTTTTCAATACTAAAACGTTGAAGCAGTCGAGTCAATTGGTGATCAATTAACAATAAAACTAAAAACTAATCATGACAATTTCATAATCATAACTCAGCTAGGGTATCGTTTCGCATTTCTAGGTATCCCCCTCCATCCTCAACATATCTTTGTGTCCACTCTAGTAGTTGGCCTCGGCCTGCTTCTGGATGTCGTGCTCGGCACCACGCTGCTGTGTCTTGCCCTTATCGTGCAGCTCCTCGTAGTGCTCCTGGCCTGACCTGTCTCCAGTAAGACCGGCGACGGCGCTACCAACAGTTCCCTGGACACGTTCTCCCACGCCGTGACCGTAGTCGTGTAGCTGGCCCTTGGCCTCTTGCTGCTGGCCCTCGAGGTTCTGTTGGCGTCCAGACTGCTTCAGTGACTATATCATCCATGTTAGCTATAGCTTAGAGATAGTAGCTGTTGCATAAAGCGATCATACCTCATTGCCAATGAGACCTCCAAGCGTCTCCTTAGCAGAACCAAGGGTCTGGTTCCATGAGCCCTCAGTCCGGTTGGGGTCATCCTTTGCAAAAGCGCCTGTGCTGGAAATAGTGCCACCGGGGAGCTTGACTGCTGCCTGAGAGGCGTCGTACTCGGCCTGAGCCTTGTCCTGGCGAACCTCGCCCTTGGCCTGGTCGCCTGTGTTGCCAGTCAGGTTGCCGAAGGCGTTCTGGACGGCGCCGGTAGCAGAGTCGACGTAGGACTGGAGGGTGGAGGGCTTGTTGTTGGAGTTGTCAGACATGATTGCGGTTGATGTGTGATTGAATAGAAGTTGTAGAGTGATGAAATGTTTTGCTGTTGAGGTGCTTTGTTGTTGTGGTTGTGGTTGTTTGCTTGGCGAAGATGGGAAAGATTAGAGGAGGGCAACCGGGCATTTATAATAGCTGTCAAACGCGTAAACCTTCCATCCAACAGGGAAATCGCAATCACGATCGCGATGACGATAACAGCTTCCCACTATTCACCATGGCATTTCTGACGCGCACCACTGATGTCATTGCGATTCCCTGCGTCGAGCTTGCGAAGCCTCTTGGCAGGCACTCACAGCTGTGGTGGCGCGCTGACGTCATAACACCGTCAACGATGGCAGCGGCGTTGCACGTCTGGAGATCCACGCTGCCACATTGGCTGGCGTAGAGCATGTGAAACAGCTCTATTGCCGGTTTGGGTCACGCAACTGGCGTCGGTTGGACAGCTGGAGCAGAAGGAGCAGGGACAGGAATAGATCGAGGCATGCACATGGAAATATCTCGAACGACGAATTAAACCACCAGCCAGCTCCACGCTTCCAGTGTCGCAATGGTCACGATCTTAGTCAGTGAACTAATTTTTGAATCTTGTTTCTAACAGAATTGTCATTATTCGTGCTCATCAACTAGTGAGAACCAGGTATCTTATACTACAATATGTTGTTTGTTACAGTCATCTGGCCGGCGTGAGTTCTGGCGCCCATGGCCAGCTCTTTTCTGATTACGCCAAAATCCAGACCCAATTGCTAAATCTTCCCTTCCCAAACTTTAAACAGGTACATTTCAAACTTGAGGCGTATTAATGTTGGCTCCACTGGATCGTGTTCAGGTCAATGCCTTCTTGCACAAGTTCCCACAAGGGGCTAAGCTCGCGCAGGAAGGTAACACGCTCCTGAACTGCCTTCAATACATAATCGATCTCTTCCTCTGTGGTAAAGCGGCCGATACCAAACCGGATGCTGCTGTGTGCATTCTCGTCGCTGTTTCCAAGCGCTCGGAGCACGTAGCTGGGTTCAAGTGAGGCCGAAGTACACGCGCTGCCCGAAGACAGAGCAATATCCTTGAGTGCCATCAATAGGGACTCGCCCTCGACGTAAGCAAATGAAACATTGACACAGCCGGGATAGAATGACTTGGCGTCGCCATTCTGGGATGTGTGTTCCATACCCAGCAGTCCGCCTAATAATCGATCTGATAGGTACTTGATCCTCTTTGAGTCATACTATGCAAAGATTCTCGTTAGTCATTGTCAATCTATGAAAGATGAGACTGATAATATCCAAGAGTACACAGGCAGTGAAAGAAAGCGCAAGAATCAGACAGGTTGCTACACTCAACACGAAGAGCCTTGTCACGGGCAATTCAGAAAGCCATGCATGTATAAGCAGATCATCATATGAACGCAGGGGAGAATTTGGATTGGGGAAATGAAAAGTATATAGGGAAAAGAGAGGAAATGAAAGAACGGAAAATGTGATAACGTACCGCCATCTCTTCTTTGGCAACACGGCAGGCCTCGCCAAAGCCAACAACCAATGGTGGTGCCAAGGTACCGCTTCGAAGACCACGCTCTTGTCCACCACCAGTGATGATGGGGTCGAGACGAACCCTGGGTCGTCTCCGCACATAGCATGCGCCAATGCCCTTGGGACCATAGATCTTGTGTGATGAGATGGACATGAGGTCAATGTTCATGGCGTTGACGTCAATCGGGATCTTGCCAACAGCTTGAGCTGCATCTGTATGGAAAAAGACTTTTTTCTCGCGGCAGAGTTTGCCAATTTCTTCAACCGGCTGAATAACTCCAATCTCGTTGTTGACAGTCATGATGCTGACCAGGGCCGTCTCAGGCCGGATAGCAGCTTCAAGATCCGCCATGCTGACCAAGCCATTGCTCTGAACAGGCAGATAGGTGACTTCGAATCCTTCATCCTGCAAATGCCTGCAGCTGTCCAACACGCACTTGTGCTCAGTCTGGGTGGTGACAATGTGCTTCTTCTTGCCGGATCGGCCAAAAAATCGAGCAACGCCCTTGATGCTCATGTTGTTACTCTCCGTGGCGCCGCTGGTGAAGATGATCTCCTTGGGATCGGCGCCAATCAGATTCGCAATATGCTCTCGGGCTTCCTCAACAGCCTTCTCGCTTTCCCAGCCGTAAGCATGCGTTCTTGAGTGGGGGTTGCCAAACTCGCCGACGTAAAACGGCAGCATCGCATCAAGAACACGGGGGTCAACAGGCGTGGTGGCCTGCATATCGAGGTAGATAGGCCTCTGGCCCTCCTCCATCACGGCCGCGGTCTTGAGGACCTCTGCAGATGCGCATTAGCCTCTATGCCTTACATGTGGCTCTTCATTTCGAATTTTCGCAACAAGAGGTAACCAAGGACGACGTACCAGCCATCGGGCTAACCTTCATGTTAGGCGAGGAAGCATCCAGCGACGCAGGAGGGATGTCCACAAAGTCCTTCCTATCCAGCTTGATAGCTGTCTCGACCCGCGCATTATCCCTCTTAGACTCGGTCACGTATCCCCGCCTCCCACTCCTCCTCGTAGCCGCCACCAGGGCAGCTCGCTGAATTCCTCGCAGCGACGCCGCAGCAACCGTTGGGCTGGAGCCCAGGCGGCTCGCCGACCTCAGCGCTGACGATGCAATACTAGCCATGGCTGTGGTGCTGATGGAAAGTTTACATGGGGGCGGAAATTTGCAGCCGGGCAAGAAAATGGGGTTGCTGCAGAGCAGTTTTTAAGGCCGTGGGTTTTCGGTTTCTGGGATTTGTCAATGGTCGGCTCGGTGATAAACTGCACGCCGATTGGCTGGACTTCCTGAGTAGCTCCGGCTGAATCCCGGAAAGCACGCAGCTCATGGGCTTGGCCCGAGTCGCCATCGCTTTCAGTGGGTATACCCCGAAGGCGGCGGCGGCGGCGAACAGCAGCCTCGGACATCGAGGCAAACCACGTCATGTCCCAATTTCGGACTATATGAAGCAACTGGATACACGTTGCGATTGTGAAAAAGCACTCTCTATAAATCTATTGTACAATCACCCAAATTTAATTTTACGAGGCATCTTGTTATACCAAGCGAAGATGATGATTTCATTTGTGGTTTGCACCATGCCGGGCTCATTATAGAAGAGTATGGCGAGGATACTCAATGTACTGTAGTCATCAACTTCTGAAAAACATAGTATCGTCTGTCTGAAGGCATTAACATCACGGTAAATTGAAAGTACATTTTCACTCACAAGGGCCACATTAAATGTTGATAAGTACTAGTAGGAAGCCGCGGTAGCCCGTCTGAAGGCGGTAAAAATGCTGTGAAATTCAGGCCGCAACACTAAAGGTCTTAATAAGGCAGCTAGGAAGAAGTCATAGTGCATGCAGCCAGGCTGAGGGTGCGTTAAAAATGCTGTGAAATCGAGGCTCCATCGCTTTCGGGGGGAAGCGAGCTTTTGCCTTTTGCCTTTTGCCTTTTGCCTAGCCGCATTTTGCTTGGAATGTTCGTTAAAAATATTCGGTTATTGACTCATAGAATTCATCGATTTCTTCCTACCTAGGTACATATACTAATGTAGTAAGTAGCATTGTACTTAGTGGCTTTTGAGGATTCGATTGTCAGGGCTGGGGTGAACTGTATAAACACTTGACAAGGCTTTGAATGGTAAAAGGCATTGAAAGGCGAGATGAAGCGAAGATACTTTACGCTGTTCTTTGGCAGCAAACATTGACTCTTGAATTGAAAACTGTGGTGTTGCCGCACTGTGGCGCGGTTTCTACAGTACCTGCGTAGGTGTATATGTGTTATAAGAGTATAACACTCAAATATGCCCACTGGACGGATTCTGAGGTGAAGATTTTCAGGACTGATATTGAGCTTCTCATTGGTGTATTTGCACATGGTCTACGATAGTCGACTCCAGAATAATAAAACTATCATTCTCTCAGGTAGGTGTATATAGCGGTCGACCGAGCGCATCCAGGGTGAGTCCAAACATCCAAACGTACACCCACACACAAGCATCAGCATCCTGCAGTCCAAGGGATGTGCCAGATAAAGAAAGGCCGTCATACGGGCATGGGATACCGGAACTCACATTGCACCAACCACCAGGTTCACAGAGTAATGCACCCACAGAATGACACCATCGGCAGTGGTAGACTACACGTGGTAGACTAAAATACACGCACTGGGAGTCTTAGAAGGTGGCTCATATGTGAGTTCTTCCAAGGGGCCTCGAAGATGCCATATCTGCAGCGCATATATTCGGCTGGTGTGCTTTTGAATCAACACAGTCGAGGTGGGCATCACATCTGGAAGCTGGGGAATCTTACTCTGGGGTCTGATGCTGACAGGCCGCGCCAAAGCAGAGGATTCCACAGGATTTGCTATTGGCTGCTTATTATGCAAGCGATTCTCACTTGTCTCATCCATGCAGAATAATTAGGGGCCCTCGGGGCCATTCTTGCTCAACGAAGAGTTCTGCCGAGGGTTCTACGATTGCCATTAGTACTACTAGCAGTCGCTACAAAATGAAAAAAGATCGCCAAGTAGTCAACTTCCATAGGCTTCTTTTTCCTTTCGCTGGCCCAACAGCTGCGAGATCGGATCTGATGGAGCTCATTGGTTTTTCTCTACCCAAAGACTAGCGTTATCTGGGAAGACCCTTATTTGCTCTTGGTCGAATTTTCAATGGACCCTATCGACCCATCTATGGTTGAGTTTAAGCTCTCATAGATGCCACCACCATTATTGGACAGCCAGGTATCTGCCTCGTAGACCTCTGGTCAAGAGATACTTCTTATTGCTTACCTGCAGGTCATAGCATTCCATCTGCAGTCTGCTGCTCAGGGTGCATATCACAGAGGTACACGTATGAGAGAGTCAGCATAACAGGTGGTAATACGTTTGCTTATAGCCCCCGTGGCAATCGGATAATAGTTTTGAACCAACTGTTGTAGTAAGACAAAGACATCCTAGGCGTGCTGCAATCCATGCTACCATGGAGGGGTTCATGCCATAGGCCAGTCGAGGCTTGCTGCAGGAACTTGATGGGGTAGAGCTGCAAAAATTTCTGCACTTTGATCGCTAGCAACCAGCCAACAGTAGTACCTCTGATCAGGAGGCAAAAACTGCATGTAATCATTCCATTGCCATCCGCCCACGAGCACGAGTAATAGATACTACTGTTGCCTTTAAATGATATGCTCGTTTCCAAGTAATTCCAAGTAATCTCTTGCCATCGTCCCCACTCTGTGCTCGTTTGTTCAAGTACGGAAAACGAGTACGAGCATCATCCTCAACAGAAGAATGCAAACCAAATCCAATTTTTGGCATGTGTTAACAGCAACCAGCAGTAGCGTGTACCTGTACCAACGCATCAGTATGTGGGATGCGCACAAACTGGTACGAGTACCTCAGCCGTAGCAGCACAGCAACTGAAGCTGCTAGCTCGAGTCCCGCACCCCGCCCATGCGCTAAGAAATTTCAGATAATACGGCGTGGCAGGGATCCATCAGAGCCTGTCATTACGCACAGCAATGAATAAGATTCGTGCTCCTCTGGCAGAATTCACGGGGGAGCCACCTCCGATGGCGCAAATCGCGCAATTTGGTTGACGCCCCTGGCTCTCGCTCCTCGTGCTGCCAATGGCCACCCACGCGGGAGCTGCGCAGCAAAGTGGCCGCGACGCTGCAGCCCGGTCAGCGGTGATAGGCTCCACTGCAAAAAGAAAAGCCCCGATCGCAGCGCCTGGAGCCCAGCAGCACCCGACCGCTTCGTCTTACCCCTCCCCCGCCCGGCGCTTTTCCCCAAACCACTTATTAGGTCGCTGCCCAGCTTTTCTCGCTGTCCTTTTCATCTTCCTTCTTCTCTTTCTTCTCCCCATCCTCCTCAGCGTGTCCTTTTCTTACACTTTGGCAAAGGACTCATCTTCATTCCCTTTTCTTCCGCTGCTATCAAAACCAATCGCAAAGATGGTTCAGTCCGCAGTTCTCGGTTTCCCCCGTATGGGTGTCAACCGTGACCTCAAGAAGGCCACCGAAAACTGTGAGTCTTTCTCTCCGCTCGATGTCACAAAAAATGTTTTCTAACCTGATCAATTGTGTAGACTGGGCTGGAAAGATCTCTCAGGAGGAGCTCCTCACTGAGGCCAAGAGACTTCGTCTGGCTCACTGGAAGATCCAGAAAGATGCCGGCGTCGACATCATCCCCAGCAACGACTTTGCCCTGTACGATCAGGTTCTCTCACACATCCAGGACTTCGGCGTATGTGACAGATTTCTGCCCAATCTCTTCCCTAGAAGAATGAATGCTAACAAAAAACCTACAGGCTGTCCCCGAGCGCTACACCAAGGATGGCCTTGACACTGTTGACCAGTACTTCGCCATGGGCCGTGGCCACCAGAAGGGAGGCGTCGATGTCCCCTCTCTGGAGATGGTTAAGTGGTTTGACTCCAACTACCACTACGTTAAGCCCACTCTCCAGGACAACCAGACCTTTAAGCTGTCTGCTTCCCCCAAGGCTGTTGTTGAGTTCAACGAGGCCAAGGAGGCTGGTATTGTCACCCGCCCCGTCCTTGTTGGCCCTGTGAGCTTCCTGCACCTTGGAAAGGCCGACCGTGGCCAGTCCGTCGAGCCCATTGACCTGCTCGAGAAGCTTCTGCCCGTCTACGAGGAGCTCCTTGTCCAGCTCAAGCAGGCTGGTGCCGAGACCGTCCAGATTGATGAGCCTGTTCTCGTCTTCGACCTGCCCGCCAAGACTAAGGCTGCTTTCAAGCCCGCCTATGAGAAGTTCGCCAGCCTGGGTGACAAGATCCCCAAGCTCGTCTTCACCACCTACTTTGGTGACATCGTCCACAACCTTGACCTCGTCCCCAAGGACATCTACGCTGTTCACATCGACCTTGTCCGCAACCCTGAGCAGCTTGAGACCGTTATCGGTGCTCTTGGCCCCCAGACCGTCCTGTCTGCTGGTGTTGTCGACGGACGAAACATCTGGAAGACCAACCTGAAGCGTGCCATTGAGACTGTTGAGAGCGCTGTCCAGAAGCTTGGCAAGGAGCGTGTCATTGTCGCCACCTCCTCTTCTCTCCTCCACACCCCCCACACCCTGGCCAGCGAGAAGAAGCTGGACGCTGAAATCGCCGACTGGTTCTCTTTCGCCTCTGAGAAGACCGTCGAGGTTGCCGTCATTGCCAAGGCCGTCACTGAGGGCCCTGCTGCCGTCCGTGAGCAGCTCGAGGCCAACGCCAAGTCTATCCAGGCTCGCGCCACCTCTCCCCGCACCAACGACCCCAAGGTCAAGGAGCGCCAGTCCAAGATTGTCGCTGCCGACTACAACCGAAAGTCTGAGTTCCCTGCTCGTATCTCTTCTCAGCAGGCTAAGCTCAAGCTCCCTCTGTTCCCTACCACCACCATCGGTTCTTTCCCCCAGACCAAGGAGATTCGCCTGTCACGAACCAAGCTGACCAAGGGCGAGATCACCGCCCAGGAGTATGACTCCTTCATTGAGAAGGAGATTCGTGACAACGTCAAGATCCAGGAGGAGCTTGGCCTCGATGTCTTCGTTCACGGTGAGCCTGAGCGAAACGACATGGTCCAGTACTTCGGTGAGCGCCTAGATGGCTATGCCTTCACCACCCACGCCTGGGTTCAGAGCTACGGTTCTCGATGCGTCCGACCTCCCATCATTGTCGGTGACATCTCCCGCCCTGCTCCCATGACCGTCAAGGAGTCCAAGTACGCCGTCTCTGTCTCCAGCAAGCCCATGAAGGGTATGCTGACTGGACCCGTCACCTGCCTGCGATGGTCTTTCCCTCGTGATGATGTTCACCAGTCCGTCCAGGCTGAGCAGCTTGCTCTAGCTCTCCGTGATGAGGTTGTTGACCTCGAGGCCGCTGGCATTGACGTCATCCAGGTCGATGAGCCTGCTCTCCGTGAGGGTCTCCCTCTCCGCTCCGGCAAGGAGCGTGACGCCTACCTCAAGTGGGCTGTCCAGGCTTTCCGCCTGTCCACCACTGGTGTCGAGGACTCCACTCAGATCCACTCTCACTTCTGCTACTCTGAGTTCCAGGACTTCTTCCACGCCATTGCTGCCCTCGATGCCGATGTTCTGTCCATCGAGAACAGCAAGTCCGATGCCAAGCTGCTGGGCGTCTTCGTTGACTCTGCCTACCCCCGTCACATCGGACCTGGTGTCTACGACATCCACTCTCCTCGTGTTCCCAGCGAGCAGGAGATCAAGGACCGCATCGAGGAGATGCTCCAGTACCTCAAGCCTGAGCAGTTGTGGATCAACCCTGACTGCGGTCTCAAGACCCGCCAATGGAAGGAGACCAAGGAGGCTTTGGCCAACATGATCGCCGCCACCAAGCACTTCCGTGCCAAGTACACCAAATAAGTACAATAATATCATCATTCTTGCTGCAGCTGCAATGTAGCAAGGCTTGGCTTTGATGGGAGCATGAACTGCTTCCCTTAGCCAGGCACGATTTCAACATCGGCGTTTGGGCATGGATTTAGGTGATGACAACGGGTTATCAACGGTACCCGCACAAAAAAAGGTTCTTTTTAAACATCGCTTGGGATACGGGAAAGGTCGGTTAGGCGAGCATTCAACATATGCATATGTGCGTTGATTCTTCTCATTAAGAAGAGCACTTTGGTGGTTTTTAACATAGTTTATTAAGGATGGTTATCCTAAAAGTCTTCAACAAGGCGTTTATGAGGTGAGATGAAACACAAGGAAATGATGAGATTTTATGAGGATTTGTAGTACTAGATACCCCCGATTCAACCTGGGAAAATAAAGAAAAGAGATTTTAACCTGGTGAAAATATGCCACCGCGGCTGTCTAGTTGTCAATAATTGCGAATGTTATATTGTGAATGGCTATTCTCAATGACCTGTGTTGTCGTAGCTCTGCCCTTTGATGCTGCTGCTGGTGTTAGGAGGCTTCGCGTCGCGTCGTTGCTGTCCAGCAAATTCATCAATGTCTACATTATAAACACACTCTCAACCCTGCAGCCCGGCGTTGGGGACATGCCTGCTGCAGCTACCCACTAAAAATTCAAGCCAATGGTACTTACGGTGCCTGTACCGAGCCATTCCAGGCGGATATCTCCCAAAGCACAGTGCCCTGAGTGCTGGGGCTACAAGGCATTAGTGCCCATCGCTCCCGGAAAGACCAGGGGCACAGCACCGGGTACCACTCTGTGCTCAATTCACTCTCATCTCACGTGTCTCCCTGTACTGGTCCTTTCCATCTCCATCAAAATCTTGATATCTCACTAGAGGCAATCACGAAAGGGCCTTTTCCATTTTACACAAGCCACTACGCATTTGAATCTTACCTTTAAAAACGCCAAAAGTTATTCTCAGTGCAGATTTTTCTCCTAGACTCGCAGCCCACAGATATCTCATCATGGCTCCAGCGCGACAACAGCCGCCTCCGCCATTCAGCAAGGACGAAAAAGTCCTGTGCTTCCACATGGACATGCTTTATGAGGCCAAGATTATGGATGTGCAGCCTGCGGAGAAGCCCAATGAAGGATATCGGTACAAGGTTCACTACAAAGGGTGGAAAAACACGTGGGACGACTGGGTGCTGGTGGACCGCATCCGCCCCTTTGACGACGAGCACAAGGAGCTGGCGGCGCAGCTTCACGCGCAGCTCAAGACTAGCATGCAGAAGACGGCAAAGGTGCCCAAGAAGGTCGTCAAGAGTGGCGGCGAGTCGGCCCGCGGCAGCGAGGAGCGAAGTTCGGCCGTGACCCAGGGAGGTCGGGGCGGTCGAAGAGGCAAGGACTGGGATCTTGAGCAGGTAAGGACTGGTTTTGCCTTTGAGCGCCTGGAAGTTTCTTTATTACGTTCTTTGTCTTTCTCTGCAGCTTGCCTGTCCTTCTGCGATGAAAGTGTGCTGTTTTTACTTTTCTGTTCGGCTCTTTCCCCCTTGTGGCGTTTGCTTCTCAGAGTCTCTTGTTTGGCCGCGTCACCCGTTGTGCTTTTCACTTTCGCCTTTTGAGTCAGAGTAGTTCTCTCTCGGGGCAGTACGAGGACATTATGCTGCTGTGTTGCATGGGAAACGCGCTTAAGCGCGTGTATTTGGCTTTTTTTCTCTAGCCGGAAAGCGGCATATTTGGCTTTGCTACTCAGGGGCAAAGTGAAAGTGATAACTGTCCTAGTGGGCTTTTATATCGCGTTCCGTCTGGCAACTCGACCCTTTGGCGCAGCTTTGGCTTGTTTAAGCCTATTTCTTTCCTATAGTTTGGCGGCTGTCTTATGTTGGGACGTACTTCAAGCCTCAAAGTCTGATTAGGATGTATGTCTTGTTCAAACTTGCATGGGGAAGCGCCCAAAGTTTAGTGGTCTTGTTTTCCTCGTCGTCCTATTCCTTTCTTCCTACAGACGGCTTCTCTCCTTACTTCGACATCCTTCTTCTCAATCATCAACATTCTCATTATTCACTACTTGCGTTTTTGCGACGCCCTTGTACAACACTTCTTTCTCGCTCGAATTCTCCATGAACACCAACCGCCTCCCCTCCGAGCAGACTCTTGCATCCAACTCTCAAGGGCGTATGGAGGACTCTCTTCCTCTTCCTTCTGCCGAGCCTGGCTTTCCACCACGGGCTCGTGCCGGGAGCCCATCACCGGCTCCCGAAGGGCAATCCGATCCGGCTTCGCAGCCCAAGAAGATCCGGATTAAGCTCATCGTCAACAAGGAGGCCCGGATCAAGCCTGTTAACAAAAGGAGGCCCCGGCAAAAGACCATTTCCAAGAGGAAGCCTCCAGTCAAGAAGCCTCCGGTCGAGAAGCCTCTGGTCGACGAAAAGCCTTTGGCTTCGCAGCGCAAGAAGATTCGGATTAACCTCATTGTCAAGAAGGAGCCTCTGCCCGAGGAGCCCTTGGTCGACGAGAAGTCTTTGGTCGACGAGAAGCCTTTACCTGAGGAGCCTCTGGCCCAGATTAGCGGCAACAAGCCCCCAACCAAGATCAAGCTCAAGCTCAATCCCACCCGGTAATATATGTCCAGAACATACTTGTGATCCCGCGGTTGATTTACAGAAGCCAGTAGCTTCTTAATCTTTACTTTTTGTGTTTTGCACCTTTTTCTTCCTAGCTTTTGTTTTTTGTGTCTTCTAGTTCCTGCTTCTTTTGATGTCTCTCTTTCACATAGTCCTTGCCTAACCATCGTCATCAATTGCACCATAAGCTACTGAGAATATTCTAACAATCTCCACAGGAAGACGCCTTCCACAGCAAGCCAATGATCAACATATCCGTTCCTGATCATGTGCAGGCCATGCTAGTTGATGATTGGGAGAACATTACCAAGAATAACCAGCTTGTTCCTCTGCCTCATCCCAAGCCTGTGTCCAAAATCTTTGAGGATTATCTTGCTGTTGAGCGGCCACGCAGAGAAGAGGGTTCTTCGAGTATGGACATTTTGGAGGAGGTAATTGCCGGCTTCAGGGAATATTTCGAGAAGGCTCTTAGCAGAATACTTCTCTACAGGTACGTGATACTTTCGCTTGAGCTTTGCTGAATGTCTGCTAATATTTCGATTTGTAGATTTGAACGCCACCAGTACATGGATGTGCGGAAACTTTGGGATAACGCGGAGGAGAACTCACAGTACAAGAATGTCTGCGATGTATACGGGGCCGAGCATCTTGCCCGCTTAATCGGTTCGTCATTTGCCGCACCACGCTTACAGATCTCGAAAGGGTTTGTTTTTGCTAACAGCATACCACGCAGTCTCCTTACCTGAACTCCTCGCACAGACGAATATGGACCAGCAATCAGTGTCACGCCTCAGAGAAGAGATTGGAAAGTTCACCTCTTGGCTAGGGCGCAACTGTGAAACCTACTTTGTTAACGAGTACGAGACTCCATCCCAAGAGTACATTGACAAAGCGCGGAGCTTTTAGGTTTGTGTCTTGCCTCCTCTCGACCTTTCTTAGACATGAGTGAGCTGCAAGAAAACGGCATGTCGCTTCTCATACATGCCTAGGATCCTGCTAAGATCTCCCTTTGGCTATATTATTTCCTACGTTGTGTTTTTGTTTGTTTAAAAAAGTTGGTATCAAACTAGTGGGTTGAGAATGGCGCCGGCAGCGACTCGCTGGCTCAAAATTGGTTCCCCATTCACCAATCCCCTTGGCTTTATTTTGTAGGATTATCTTTTTTTTTCTTGTTTGTTAACGGATATCGCCGGTAATGGGTACTGGATAGCAAGGTGTTAATTGTGTTGATTATTGTGATTTTCTTCTTTTCAATCACACAGATAGAAGCAGGAGGAAGATGGAGGCGAAGGAGGAGGATGGAAACAGCTACAAAGTAATGCAATTTGTTCGTTTTATGTCTATCTCCTCGGCTGTTTCGTGGCTGCGAACTTTCTCCCTTTCTCAGAATAATTCACAAACTTTCGTCCGCCTTTTGTACATTATTGCCATCACAATATCGTACACTTCGTTTTTCATATCCCCAAGCCATATATACACATACACAATGCTCCCACACCAAATGAGCCTTCCAAACCCCTTTTTAAACGCTTATGACCAAAAAAAAAAAGCAAAAACAATTGCGTAAAATTTTACATCCGTCGCACCGCCCTCTCAACATAAAACCCCTTCTCCGGCGTCCTCTCCGCCTTGACCTCCCCCTTGCTCAGCCTCCTCTCCACCTCCTGCACGCGCACCAGCTCCTTGACCTTCATAATCATTCCCGCAAACTGCGGCTCCGCGGGGTGGAACACGGTCTGCATGCGGCGGCGCAGGCCCAGCGCCTGGAGCACGCCGCGGGTGCGCTCGGGGAGGCCGATGGCGGATCGGTGGAGGGTGATGCGGAAGAAGGACATTGTGTGGGTTTCTGGTGTTTTTATTGTGTTTCTGAGAGGTTCGGTTGTTTAGATGGCGAGGAAAGGAGCTCGCAGATGTTCGGTTGTCGCTGTCGCATGATTAGCAAAAATGATGCACCCCAGCAAGTAAGATGCAGGCCCGTCCGTACAAATTCTCCAAAGCACAAATGTCCAATTCGCCGGCCGCAACACAGTTCAAGTCTTGCAACGATGCAGTTGCTCCAATCCTGCCCTCCGCCTTGTTTTTCTCTAGAGGAGTAATCTGTCGCTTTCAAGGTCGGCCTGTTTCTTCGAGTGGGTTGAGCCCGCGATAAAGTTGCTGGTGGTTGCGCGATAAGATATCAGCTAGCTTCACAAGGGACAGCCTTGTCTGGATCACGTGACATATTCTCGGACGCATCTTATTATATCTCTACTTCCAGAGAGTTGCCCTTGAGAAATACTCTAGTTCATAAATCCTTTGCCTATTGCAAACTAACTCGTAAGGAAAATAGTCACAGTAAATCGTGTATAGTGAATTAATTTTTGTTCTATTTGTCATGAAATCAAAAAATGATTTAAATACTTCATAATATTTCTCCGCAGCGCACTTGTGGCGCTGTTCAAGTCTTTGCAAATCACCATCCCTTCCCAAATCCAGTCAATACCCACAGCTGCTATAAAAGATTTTCTAACGCTCCTCCCATTTCCTCTCGGCTTCAAATTAGATCTGGACCTCCACTCTACCCTCAGTGCCCCGGCCCTCGCTAAGGTTGGGCAGCAGGTAGGTGATATCATCCCAAGGATGACGGTACAGACCAGTGCGCAGTCTCTTCTGATCGAGGTAGTGGGCAATGAGACCAATGCTTCGTCCCAAGACGAACAGACCGTTCAGGACACCCATCTTGAGGTAGTCCTCGGCCTCTTCGGCGGAGAAGGCACCGCAGTTGCGCATCAGGTCAACGAAGCAGACGGCGATACAGCCGTCAACGTTGAGGATCAGGCTGTCCTTCTTGGAGGTTGTGACGGTCTCGACGGCCAGAGCGTAGTCGAGCAGCTTGTGGCTGGGGAACTTGGCGCGGACGTACTCCTTGACAAGCTCAACACGCAGATCGGGGTTGTTCCGTGACTTGATACGGTGACCAATACCGGGAATCAGCTTGTTGGCCTTGCGCATGCTGTCGACGAAGTCACGGGGGCTCATGTTCTTGTCAAAGGCCTTGGTGAATTCCTCAGCAGCACCATCAAGGGCACCACCAAATCGGGAACCAATGGTCAGCAGACCGGCAACGAGGGAGCTGATAAGATCCTTGCCAGCACGAGTGGTGATGATGGTGTTCATGGCACCAGAGACGGCGGGACCGTGATCGGCAGTAAGCATGAGAACCATCTCCAAGAACTTGGAGGCGTAGTCGGGCAGTCTGCGGCGGAACCACAGCAGAGACATGACACCACCGACACCAATCTCCTCCTTGAAGACATCGGAGATGGGCATGCCGGCATACAGAAGCTCTTGGCCACGGTCGTCGGAGATGGTAGAGATGAAAGCAGCGGGCTTTCGGATGAGGCCGAGCTCCTGGGCCCAGGAGTAGTCCATGGGGATCTTGGGGACAACGGGCTCAGATCGGGGAACAATGGTGCCCTGCTTGACGAGCTTCTCGTAGACCTCCTTGACGGTAGCGGGCATGTCCTCAAAGGTGTTGGGGACGTAGAAGCCAGCCTCCTTCATGGCCGCGTTCTTGGCAGTGGCAGTCTCAAGCTGAGAGTTGGCAAAAGAACCGGCGTGGCCGAACTGAACCTCGGTCTTGAACATGCTAGAGCAAGTACCAATGGCCCATGCGACAATGGGCTTGGTGATGATGCCCTGCTTGACGGCATCAATCACCTTGTACTCCTCCACACCACCGACCTCACCGAGCAGAACCAGGATCTTGCACTCAGGATCGGCCTGGTATCGCAGCAGGTGGTCGATGAAAGTGGTACCGGGGTATCTGTCACCACCAATGGCGACACCCTCGTAGACGCCGTCGGTGTTTTGAGAAATGATGTTGTTGAGCTCGTTGGACATACCACCAGACTTGGAGACGTAGCCAACGGAACCCTTGCGGTACAGCTTGGAGGCAACAATGTTGTCCATCATACCACCGGTGTTACCAATCTTGAAGCTGCCGGGCTTGATGCCACCGACGGTGGCGGGGCCAATGATGGTGATGCCCTTCTTCTTGGCGACATGGGCGATCTCACGAGCTCGCTATGGACCGGTGGTTAGCTTAATTGGGCTCCAATTGGGCTGTTTTTTTGCTGTTTCGACAATTTTGTGAGGGGCATGGACATCAAGGTAGAACAAGACTTACTCGCTCGGGAACACCTTCTGCAATGATGGCAATGGTCTTGATCTGAGAATGCTCCATCAATTCCATGGTGGAGCTGTAGACACTTCGGGAGGAAGCAAAGTTGACCACGACATCAACATCGGGGTGCTTGGCAATGGCCTTCTCGACCTGCTGGTAGACGGGCAGCAGAGTCTCGCTAGTGCCCCAGTACATCTTGCTGACGAACTGGCCGCCAAAAGTGTAGATGATGCCGGCAACGGAGGGGGTCTTTCGCTTGCAGATGAAGTCAAAGTCCAGCATGCCCTGGACGGCGCGGGGCTGCAGGCCGTAGACGAAGCATCGCGTCTTCTCCGAGAAGAGAGTGTGCGAGGGCAGAGGGCTGAGGGGCCGGCTGGGGGCAGCAAAGCGCTGGATGTTGTCGTTGGCCGACAGGTTCTTGGAGCCGGACATGATGAATGCGTGAGCTCGTCAAGAGGTCTCTCGAGAGAAGCTGTTTTGGTGGAATTGAGGAGGGGGAAAAGAGAATTGGAGCAGGAGAAAAAAATGGCGGGGTGAGTCCTGTAGAGAGAAAAAAAGCACTGGTTAACAGCTGAGCTTGAACAAAGGACTGGTTGTAGCCGTACTGCGTTGCGCCCACCAAGGCAGAAGAAAACCACGACAGACAGAGATGGAGATGAGGCGAAAGATGGAGAAGAAGGAAGAGAGGAATTGACAAAAAGCAGCTTTCAATGGGGGGGGAGCGAGGCCTAGAAGCGGGAGACCAGCCAGATTTCAGGAGAGCAGTGACAACTGGACCATGCTATGGAGGGCTGCTTAGCTGCCACCAAAAGCTCAGCGGGGCCGAAGCTCAGCGGGTGGTGCCAGGCCTGCGCCGTATCCGCACATGTACTTCGTACCGCCCAGCCAGGTACAAGCACCGACTGCTCCCTGTATTACCCTGTGCGACCGGCGCGCCCTGTACCAGCCCGGAAAAGTCAAGCACGTACTCGGTACGAATTGCTAGCCCGGTGGGGACCTCGCAGGCGCCGGTGGGGCACGGCCAGCGAAGCCGCGCTGCTATCGCACTCGCCTAACGGAACCCAAAAGCGTCGATCGAGGGACCAGCATGTGCCTGTGTGGTGCATATACAGCCCTGTGCGAAAGCGCGAGCAGGAAGGGAGGCCACTGAAAACAAACTGAACAAGCAGAAGCGCTGCTTACCTCGATGCAGGTCGTAGATGGACACACTGAGCTTCCCGAATTCGAAAGATGGTTACGGTGAAACGCAAGTCGCCGATGCTGACGCACTATGAGAGAGAATTATACCGTAGGAATGGGTGTGTCCGGTGATGCGATGTCGTCTCACAGCTCCTTACGGCACAGGCGTCTAATTTTGGCGTCCCTCTTTTTTGGCTCTTATTCTCTCCCCCAGCAGATAAGAGCGATCAATTCCAGTAATGTTATTTTTTTTTTCCAATTCAGGGGGGGGGCCGGAATGGTGGGAGAGTCGGGAGCCAAATCCGCACGGCAACAGCCACAAAAGGAGTTGGGGAAGATTTTTGGGGTAAAAGTCATGAATGTTGAATAGCAGCGCCGTAGGGCTTTGAGACACAATAGCAGCCAAGCTAGGGGACAAAGACCCGGTTGCGGTCCATCAGCCACTGGCCACTAACACGGCTTGGGTCCGGGCATCAGTACATGTACCTCAACAGGCTCCATTGCACGAATGCGGTATCGGATATTCCCTCCAGCAGAGCATTTGCGCCCCTTGCGTGCCATAGACATTTCTGTTTGAATCAAGATAAGAAGATGTTACGCTGCTATAGCCGGACGCGCGTGACTGCCTGCCATTGAAGGGCTGACATGGAAGGCCATCCATGGACGGGTTGATCCAGGGCGGGTTTGGCCGCAGGGAGGCCGTCTTTGCTGGAGGAAATCCGTCCTTAGGGGTCCTGGCGTGGTATGCTTGGTGATCCAGTCCCAAAATTAGGCACCGAATCAATCTGAGAGGCAGCTCGTGCCGCTAGCATCGCCCGGCAGTCGACATGCATTGGAACCAGACAGCGCCAGCCATTGACCTCGAAAATGCTGTGCGCTAGAGAATGGAGGGGCAGCAATGGTGGGGTACACCACTCTATGGTGGCTGACGCTTTGGGCCCTTGTTTACCCAACGCTGATAGACCAGAACGTTTGGGTTAGCGAGCCGGCAGCCAGGTCCCACCGCGTTTGAACGGGTACGAATACGTTGCTGTGCTCGTGCCTGAGCCACCGGTACCAGCGCCGTATGTTCTGAACAGCGCGGAAAGCTGCCCCTCTCAGCCTTGTCCCACTACGGGGTCTGGTACATTAGCATAGAGCTCCCAGGCTTCTTTGCAGCAGAGGCGCCTCTCTGTTGGGCTCTGCTGCAGCCCCCATGCAAACGTTAAACCCCCAGCACTGATCAGTCGATTACCGCGAGGGAGGAACAAGAGGGGTGTCAAGGCTCCGAAAAGTAAGTCATTCGTAGGCCCCGGGCATGGCATAATCCAGATAAGCCCGTGTTATCGGAGGTTCCAGAATCCCACGGAATGCCTTCGGCGCCAGAAATTGCGGTCCCGAGATCCTTGCAAGCCTCTGCTGCGACAGTCGGCGCAGGTGGTAAATTGGAACTCTCCGGCAAGAGACGAAAACGACGCAGGCAGTGAGCGATCCAATTCCGACTGCGAAGAAAAAAATCGAAATCATGGCGATCCACTTGGGTCTTCTCAACAACCTTGGAACGGGGGGGGGACGACTCCTGAAAGTACCGGTACTCGAGCTAGAGCAATGGCAGCGCCCATTGAGTTTCCCTTGCCCCAATGCTTTTTCTTGCTCCCGGCGTGGTGTCAGTTCGCACCCGGCCGCCACCGACTTTGGCACGCACCTCCGACCCTTAGCGGCACCAGGCACCAAGTACCCCCCTGACCGCCCTCGAAAAGTACTGCCCCCCCGAAATCTGTATGCTGAGCTCCATCACCCCTCAAACCCCTCCTGCGAGCTGCCAGCGTGGAGCTGTCGTCTTGTCGCCCAAATTTCTGAAAGGCTGAAAGTCATCCTCCTCCTGCCATCCACCTCTTTGGTCTTCAGGCTCGCTTTTCCTTCTCCTTCCCTTCCTCGTCAGATATCCAGCTCTCCGTGCCGTTTCGCTTTTCGACTTTGCAATTGCACGTCGTAGTCGCCCGAATCCTCTTCTTTGCGGTAAGTGTAGCTGGTTTTGCCCCTCCAATTGTTCGCTCCGGTCTTGAATAGATTGCTGGTTGCCTCATTGTCGTCTTTTGAAGTCAATTGCTTCTCCGGCTGCTCGGTGCCCAAGCTTGCCTTTGCGGTTGAGTGATGCACTCGCGCCTGTGCAGCAGCAATTGATTCTCGTCCTTCTATTCCTCCATCTCCATCTCATCATCGAGTCTCGCAACATCTGCTGACGGCATAAAAGGCTAGACTTTCCTTCACTCATCCCACTTTCGAATTCTCTTTCTTTCTCGTCGTAGACACAGCTCATCACAATGTCTGCCAAGTCGATCTTCGAGGCCGATGGCAAGGCCATTCTCAACTACCACCTGACCCGTGCTCCTGTCATCAAGCCGAGTCCTCTCCCTGCGCCCACCACTCACAACCCTGCTGCCAGACTCGCCTCACTGAGCTTCCCTGAGGATGCTGCCGTCGAGGACGTCCTGAACCAGGCCGAGGTTACCTTCCCCTGGCTTCTCCAGCCCGGTGCCAAGTTTGTTGCAAAGCCCGATCAGCTCATCAAGCGACGAGGCAAGAGCGGTCTGCTGGCCCTCAACAAGACTTGGCCCGAGGCCAAGGCCTGGGTTGCCGAGCGTGCTGGCAAGGAGCAGAAGGTTGAGCACACATCCGGTGTTCTGCGACAGTTCCTGGTAGAGCCCTTTGTGCCTCACCCTCAAGACACAGAGTACTACATCAACATCAACTCAGTCCGTGATGTGAGTAATTTTCCTCTTTTCATTCCATTTCTTTTTCTTGTTGGACTCCCTTTCTTGAAAATTGTCAACAAACGCACCATTTGCAGAAGAACCGCATGCTGGTCATCTGGGTAGAGTCAAGTGACTCTTATTGTGCATGACAAGAAGTGTTGAAGGAGACTCAAAATTGAATGTTGAGAGAAGATGGGCGAGATATAAAGGCTCCGGACGAAAGAAAGGATTTTCTTTATATATACCATGGCGCTTGCACTCGGTGTGAAAATTGTCTCCGTAGCCTGCCGAAACGAGAGGCCGGGCGGACGAACGGATGTCACAATAGGGAGGGTCCTGGACTGGACTTAGTCACACCCCTGCTCGCGCGATTACACACCACATCTCAACTCCATCCTCAGCTCAGCTCCCATAGTATCTTATCATGATGCCATCTATCAAGACATCTTACTGACAACATCTTTTTCAATCGTTTTAGGGAGACTGGATTCTGTTCACCCACGAGGGTGGTGTTGACGTCGGTGATGTCGACGCCAAGGCTGAGAAGCTCCTGATCCCCGTGGATCTCTCAGAGTACCCTTCCAATGAGGAGATTGCAGCTGCTCTTCTCAAGAACATTCCCTCTGGTCTTCACAATGTCCTGGTTGACTTCATCACCCGGCTGTACGCCGTCTACGTGGACTGCCAGTTCACCTACCTCGAGATCAACCCCTTGGTTGTGATCCCCAACGAGGACAAGACTTCTGCCGCCGTCCACTTCCTGGATCTTGCTGCCAAGCTCGATCAGACTGCCGACTTTGAGTGCGGTGTCAAGTGGGCCATTGCCCGATCTCCCGCTGCCCTTGGCCTCACCAACATTGCTCCTGGTGGCGACAAGGTCAGCATCGACGCTGGTCCCCCAATGGAGTTCCCTGCCCCCTTCGGCCGTGAGCTCTCCAAGGAGGAGGCCTTCATCGCTGAGCTGGACGCCAAGACTGGTGCTTCCCTGAAGCTCACCGTTCTCAACCCTACTGGCCGCATCTGGACACTGGTTGCTGGTGGTGGTGCTTCCGTCGTCTATGCCGACGCCATTGCCTCCGCTGGCTTCGCCGACGAGCTGGCCAACTACGGTGAATACTCCGGTGCTCCCACCGAGTCACAAACCTACCACTACGCCCGCACGGTCCTCGACCTGATGCTGCGCGCTCCCATGGCCGACAAGGGCAAGGTCCTGTTCATTGGTGGTGGCATTGCCAACTTCACCAACGTCGCCAGCACCTTCAAGGGTGTCATTCGCGCTCTCCGTGACGTCGCTCCCCAGCTTATTGAGCACAACGTCCAAATCTGGGTGCGTCGTGCCGGCCCCAACTACCAGGAGGGTCTGAAGAACATGAAGTCTGCCACCGCCGAGCTTGGCCTCAACGCCAAGATCTTTGGCCCCGAGATGCACGTCTCTGGTATTGTTCCTCTGGCTCTCATCCCTGGCAAGTGGGAGAGCAGCAACCTGGAGGAGTTCAAGGCTTAAGCGAAGGGAGTGAACCATGGACCCAAAAAGGGGGGTTCCATATTACGGACAACGATATAGCTACTTTTTATCAGCTCAAAGTTAATATTGTTGCGTTCTTGTATTTTGCAATCTAGACGGGATGGTGGGGTTAAGCTTGTTTTGTTATTTCATAGCCTTGGGAAGACTTTCACAGAAGAGGAAAAAAAATATTAGTACGTGTCGAAGGAAGCACAAGGCTGGATAAAGGGAAAGTGGATGTCTGCGGGAGACGATACAAACGACACAAACAAACATGATAATACAAATTCAAAATGATATCTCCATGCCGGTTAGCCGATGTGATGTAGCTGTCAAGTCAAAGCCTCTGCCATCCCATCAAATGACGTAAAGCCAAGAGAAAGAGCAGACACTAATGTGGGTTATACGAGAACTGCATATAGAGGATCAAATGACAAAAGTGCGCTTGTGCAGCACGGATATACCCAAGTATCATTTAGATGATACCTTAGTAGATGTAGTTGGCGCCTTTAGACGCGATGCCTGTCTGAATTGTGCCTAGTCCACACTCCGCGGAACGAATTCCATTGTGGATACGAGATGGGAGATTGTTCGAATCCAAGGAGCAAGATTACGCCCGGCGATATACTATTCCGATCGTCATTGCCAGTCTGTCTTGAGGGTAGACTATCTGCGAGAGTTTCGCAAATGGGTAAAGTACCAATGTAACCCGTTACTTGGGCATAGAGGTACAGTCTGCGCGAGACAGAACCCGGCAATCTTCTGAGCCACATGCCACGTGGCGGGCCCGAGTCGACGAATGTAGCCTTTTTTCCACGCAGGTTTCCCTTGGAGGTGGCCCCCAGAGCCCCAGAGGAGCCATTGCCTCGATCTGTGCCCTCCTGTGGGTGCTCCATAGGCAGTTTCCATTCTCGGGGTTGTCGGTCTTGATTTATCGCGAATTCGTCGCGATAGGCGCCAATGGGGGGCAAAGCACCTCGTTGCGGCCAGCACAATCCCAGACAAGAGGGAAATTGTCCATCTCAGCTATCCTCACCCTTTATGAGGCAGCCCTTCAAAGGAGGCTCAGGAACGGAAAGCTGCTTCAGCGATCAGCCGCTCTTCCTCTTCTTATATCCTCACTCACTCACTCGCTCTCACGCCCTCTCTTCTCATCCACAGCGTTTGCAAATCATATCCCTTTCAGCCCTCTGCAAAGGCCCGGCCGCACCAGTATCTTCTCGATCCCTCTGGTGATGGTGATGTGATATAAGTCAGCTCACGCGCCTGGGATGGCCCGGACCGATGCATGGATTAGAAATAAAAACCACAACCCGGGGCAAGATAGCAGAGATAGGGCGAACTGCTGCTTACAAAAAGGGGGCTGTGGAAGGGCTCTCATTAGACCGAGAGAGGGAAAAGACACCGAGGAGCAGAACAAAGAAGGCTGCTGAAACTGGCTGTGACTAACTGACCGCCCTTCGGCCAGGCTGATGCCCACAGTTTCTGCTCATGATCGGCCGTCCAGGCTGCATGAGGCGACGGATTCAATAAAATATGCAGTGAGACTCTGCCAGACGGTGCTCGCTCGCTCGCTTCCTTTGCAAATGAAATGCATCTGATGATGCTCCTGGGCAGGTCGCAGCGGCTGGGCGCGTGACGCAGCACCTGATGTGACGAGTCAACGGAATCGAGGGGAAACAGCTCCCAGCACTTGCTTCCACTCTTGTCTCTCCTCTCTCTTGCCTCTTTCTCGCTTTCCCTTCTCTTCCATTCCATAGCAGCAGTAACAGCTGGAGCAAGAGCCCCGGGGCAAATCCAGCCAGGCCACAACCGAGAGCCGCTGTTGCCGTTGCCCATCCCGTTATCTGTGTTCCAGCACTCGCCGCCGTTCAACCTCGCCTTGCCGCCCCAATCGAGCCGGGCCGGAGGTGTGACAGTTGCAGCAGTTGCAGCAGTTGCAGTCAGTTGCAGCTTCTCCAACTTTGGGTCACAGCGGCTCTCTGCCTCTTGCTTTTCCCCTCCTTGCAGTCTCCAATCCCCAAAGCTGCCTCGCCTTGGCCGGATAAGGTAACGCTGAAGCTAACCAGGATTCTTCCGTATGAGATTCTGCCCACGATGGCGTCAGTCTCGAATCATCAAAGTGCCTGCCCTAGTGCCCTGTATCTGTATATATAAAACGGCCGGCAGTCGTCCAAGCCTCGCCTCTCCCGTCTTCTCCCGCAAACCTCGTTCGCTCGCTCGTACAGTCCCGCTTGCTGTTGCTAGCATCTCATTTATCTCTCTCTCTCCTTCGCCGTGACTCTTACTTTTTTGACGCGCCCCATACAAACAAGCGCCAACCAAGCCCGCACTTACATGGCAAAGAGCGCCCACACCACCTTTCAGCCATACCCCTAATAAACGACGCCCCGAACCGTGCAATATTCAGGCCCCAGGGGAGAGGGGAAGATATCTTTTTTGCTCCGCACAACCCTTGATCGTATTTTTTAGTTTATCCTCTTGTTGTTTATATATTTGTTCCCTCGTCGCCTGTTGAACCTTTTCTTTTTCTCCTTTAATCCCCTGGAGAAGAGACGAAACAGAGACATTGATCTGCGTCCGATACAAGCTCTAGCCCCCCCACCCCCACTCTCGCTTTTCGCTGCGAACCTGCCAAACGCACGTCATTGCTGCACTTATATAAGCCACCCGCTACCTGGGATCCCAAGCGACTTACCGCCAGAAAGTCAACGGGCAAATACCGAGGAAAACAGAGTAATACGGACCGCAGGCGCAAGACCACACAATAAAGTTCCCAGCAGGAAGTGTGAGAAATCTGTTTTCTGCCTGGCTGAGCTGGCACGTGGGTCCCAATAATCCACTGCCAGTGCGTCAAAAGGTGTGTGGATTCTCTCGTTTTTGTCCTTGTTTACATGGGTGTTTGTGATCATGTGCCCTTTTTTATTCAATTGTTCCGTCGTTCGTGTCGTGTTATGCAAATTGCTTCTAGATCGATGCGCTTTCCTCACTGTTGTTTAACCAGATTCCCTAAGGGGTAGGTGACAACCCCGGGCCAATAGGGAGACAAAGATTACCATCATCTCCAAAACCATTCTTGCACAACCCTCGGTGTGAGAAAAAAGAATGGCTCGCCTAGTCGAACCGTCGCCTCCTGTCGATTATTGCTGCTCTGGGTGCTGCAAGGCCGCCGATTTTGGCACCCACGACTACTGCTTGCCCTGCGAGACCAACCCGGCGTGCACCACCAGCCTGGACAAGACTAAGGACATTAACCAGCCGCCGCGGGATAAGAGCCGCAATGTCTGAAGTGGCTCTTTTAAAGAAAGGTTAGACAGGACTGGACAGGAGGATGACGAAGCTAGGGAATTGAAGGAAAAGAATTGAGAGATAATTTATTAAAGAAAAAAAAAAAAAAAGACCTAGCGGTACGTGCCGTCCAACTCAGATCCAGGGGCTGGTCCCCCACGCGCTACATGTTTGCAAAAGATTCCGGCATTGGGAGTTTGGAGCCATGGATTGTATTGTAATGTACTTTATACGCTCTAAATAAATATTCTAGGTATTTTTTCATGGAAGCATCCTACCTAAGAAGGAGAAGATAAAGAAGTACAATCATCATCATGGCTGCGCTAAATGGGATATCTAAAGGTTCAAAGCAGAATGAGAAAGACATGTATTTACATTAAAGCAACTCCATTAATTTTCTTCTGTATCGCCCCCTTTTTCCTCCCCCCGGAACAATATAGTGACTGAAGATTTTAATTGAACCATCATCGCTCATGCCTCTCTAATCTCCAATCCAGATTAGATGAAGAGCATGGCAACCAAAGGCAGAGCCAGAGCCCAAGAAGCAGGGTGAATCCAGGCGGCGGCGCTGTCCTTGTCATCGCTCTTGTCATCGCTCTTGTCATCGCTGGAGCCGGACTTGCCAGCAGAGGTGGTGGTGGAGTTGGATCCAGTGTCGGCAGAGTTCTTGCCGGCCCAGTTGGACTCGTCGTCGCTGAGGGGAACAACCTTGAGGCCGGTGACGGCGTTGCCCTCGGAATCCTTGACACTCATCTTGACGTTGTAGTTGGAGACCTTGACGATGGAACCGCTGGGCTTGGGGCTGATGCCGTTGTCGATGAGCTTCTGGACGCCGGGAGGGGGGACGGGCAGGGTGAAGTTGCTGTCGAAGCCCTTCTCCTTGATGAGGCTGGAAGCGCACTTGGGAGCGGCGGGGGCCTTTCCGCTGGCCTTTTGGGACTGCACGGTCTTCCAGTCGATCTTGGCGAACTGGGCCTTGAGGCGGTTGTAGTCGCCCATGATGTTCAGGGTGTCACCAGTGATGTTGACCAGGCCGTAGTTGTTGTCCTCCTCGGTGTACTCGTAGACGAAGCCGCCGGAGAAGACGGGGGTCATGTCGGAGCCGTAGATGGCCTGGGCCTCGTTCCAGTAGCGGGGCATGGGGGTGTTGCAGCCGTACTCGCTGAAGAAGACGGGGACAGAGGTGTCCTGGAAGTTCTCGGTCAAGACGTCGTAGGATGAGCTCTTGTAGGTGGCGTCAGGGCCACACCAACTGTACGAGTTGAGGGCGAAGACGTCGGCACGGCTCATGTCGCCATCATCGTTGGGCTCGGAGCACTGCAGGTAGTTCCAGGTATCCCACAGAACATCACGAACATCAGCGGCAGAGTAGCCAACGGGGATCTGGCGCTTGAGGTTCTTCTTGATGTAGTTCTTCAAGTCACGGGTGACGGCGCGCAGGTAAGGGGGCACGAATTTCGCGGTGGGGATGTCGTTGATGACCTCGTTTCCGGAGAAGAAGAGCAAGGTGTTGGGGTAGTTGCCGAAAGCTTCAGCAATCGCAAAAGTGCGGTTGGAATAGGCCTCGTAGTAGCTCGTCCAGGGCTCGGAAGAGGTGATAGACTCGCCGACCAGAGGAGAGTTGACGTCAAGGACCATGTACATGCCAGCCTATACGGAGGTCAATCAGCTGCTGAATTTGATGCCACAGAATCATTAAATAAGAGGGGAAGAAAACTTACAGCATTGAAGATACTGGCGCACTGGTCGTGGTTCAGGTTGGGGTCGAGGTTGTACACGCGAATGGCGTTGACGCCCATGACCTGCAGAAGAGCCGCATCACGCAAGCAGGTATCGGCATCACTGAGAGGGTCCTTGCCCGTCTTGGGGTCGTATCCAGCACTACCGCCGGGCTGGTAGGCAACACCAACAAGCTGGAATTTGTTACCGTCGGAGTCGACAAAGTCGGTTCCCTTGATGGAGAGCGGCTTGACGGCTCCCACGGTGGTGGCGGCGAGGGCCACGAGCGCAGCTTGCATCTACAGCACATTCTGAATTAGCAGCTGCTTAAAGAAAAACGTTGAAAGCAGTATGCAAGTAGACAGACAGATCGCATAGCACGATTGGAGGGGTTGATGCGCAATATCGAAACAACTCTGAGAGCAGCATCCTCATGCAAGGGGCGCCACTTACAAGCATGATTAATATCGTTTGCTAAAGAATACTAGAAATTCTCAAAAATCGAAAGGAATAGAGTATCGACAGGAAAGCAACAGCGATAAAGCTCAGGTTATTATATTGGCGGTTCCCGAAAGCGAAAAGCGAGTGATGATTCTCGAGACAGCGGAAGACACGTCTGAAACGCAAAGGGGGAGGCGAGAGCGCTTTGATCTTTTCCGCGACAGGTCAAAAGAGTGACTGGAAGCCTATAAAATAAGCACTTCCCAAAAGCCCGAGAGGCAGATTCTGCGAGCGAAGCAAACAAAAAGAGCGACGACGGTGTTCAAAACGAGTGCGAACGTGTCTTTGACAAGAAGCTGGGAGGGAATGAATGCGACTGATGGGCGGGAGTAAGTACAAGTAGTCTCGGCCGACAGGACCCTTGATCAGCAAACGGGCATCCAATTGCAGTGCGGGCCAGGGGGGGACATTTGCAGTTCTGGGCAGTGCTAGCAGGCCTGGCCGGTGCTTGGTAGCGCTCACAAGACCTTCCTCCAGGGCCACTGCCCAGCGCCGGGGGCTCTGTATTGGAGGGCACCTCCTCTGCAACTGGCGCGTGAATGGCTTGAATGGCTTGAATGGCACCATTGCCGCTGCGCTAGTGCGGTAGGCCAGGAACGGGCGGGGCCCCGCTGGAACGTTTGATTTGGGCTGCTGCAGATCCGTCGCAGCTGGTGGAGGCGGCGCGAAGGAGGGAGCCTCAGCGTGAGACGGACTGTCTCAGCTTAGATGTGTGCTTTGCAGCGATTTCTACTTGAGACTAACCATTTTGCGGTCAATGCTATTTGTGCCGTGTATTGTACAGCGTTAGCCAAGGAGACGAATACTGCTAGTGCGCCGTATTGTATTTGGTGCTACTGACTGGAGCCTTGAGAGCGTCTGGCCTTCGCTGCGGTACTCGCTTATAGCGCAAGATGAGGCATTCTGCTCGCTAACAGAGACCCCGTAGGATACGAGGCTGCCGAAATGCCTCTCGCTCCCACCGTTTACTGGCCTCTTGGCCCTCACTTGGCAATGCATGGCTCGGACTTTATTCAGGAGGTGCATGATCTCTCCCCTTGACTAATTGCCTCTTGTCACCCGTATGCATCTTCCGCGTTGATCTAATCCAAGTTGTTCCTCTGTCATGTCGCCTACTCATGGGTGCTGGCATACTGCACCCTCCAGGTCCCGAATTTCGCTCCAACCAAGGTACATGACGGTGCATGCCAAAGCAGCCCCAAAAAATGAAAAATGTACCTGCAAATAGCAGCAATAAAACGAGCCTCCTCGTGTCCGGCGCCGCTCACGCCGAGTCGGCGGAGCTAGGAGATCGATAATTTCCCCATTAGAGCAGGTACAAATAGCACCCCCGGACTTCGTATACAGTAAATCGCCGCAGAGAGCCAGTCCAAGCGAATCGTGTCCACCATTAGCGACGAAGTAACCCCGTATTTATGCCATTCGGCATCAGAGACAGTGGCCCTGGCGAAACACTATTGACTTGATGTAACCTGTAAATCCTATAGAATGAGCTAGTGTTTCCAAGTCGCGATTATAAGAGACTTTCGAGCTACTATAAGGCTAACCAAAAGGTGGGCTACGGATACGGCCATTACGGGCTACTACAGCGTTCCCAATTCGCGATGACCTCGATCTTTCCTATCTTATCAGCCTATATCGCTACAAAGTACGGCTCTGCCTGACGCCTAGCACAGCCTTTTCTCCTTTCATGTTTCCAAATGCTCCCCCTTTTTTTTCATGTTGTTGGAGTTTACTATTGACTCCATCGGGATGGGCTTGGTACTGATGATGGCAATTGGTAAGATTTGGTAATGATGATAGTATCATTGGTAAGGCATAGAGAAAGTGAAGATTCCAACAATATGTTTTGTGATTACCATACATGATCTTCGACCACTGATCGAACAGATGAAAATAGTCATATAAGCTAGATCTGTAAGGTCATTGAGCGAAGATTTCTCTCAAACGAACTGCTTCTTCAGCGACTTCGAGTTGATAATAACTGTTACCAGGCCCAAAAAAACACCGACAAGACAGACCACTTACCAAAACGCTCGGCGCCTAGATAGTAGGCCAGCCAAGTTTTGCCAAGTAAAGTCTAGATTGCCACCTGAGCCATATCATAGACGTCGAAAGAGAGACGCAAATTAGGCCAAGCGAATTGAAAATAAACTCTTTACGCTTTTTCCCTTCTAGATCCCGTCCTTACAAGATTAGACACTTGCACAGCCTTCCAATGACCTCACCCGAACCTTAATTCAACCTACAGAAAGTATAACCCAATCAATTAAACGTATACTCGAATTCTTGGCACGGGAGGCGAAGCCTTCTTGGCCTCATAAAATGCAAACACTTTATTATACTCGTAATAAGGGTCCTCATGGACTCTTTTAGTGTAGCGTCCCCTCCCCGGAATTTCGCTTTTTTCTGCAGCACAGGGGCAACATTGGCATTTAAAATGAGCGTCCCCCATGCCCCCTGTTCGTCTTTCGTCCAATTTAGGGGCTGACCTTCTGTAACCCAAAGCAGTAAGACTGGGTGGCTTCATAGTACCTACCTTATTTGCTCTGCAGGGTAACTGATGCTACCTATTCTGCCGTCTGATTGGTCCATCAATCGGCGCATTCACCGCCTGCCTTTTTTAGATCCAGGACCCTTTTTCTGCCACCCCTCCCCAAAGTTTGTCCATACGGTGAAGTGTGGCTATCACTAGTGGGAACACCAAGGTGATAGTCCAGATCCCGCGATCTCTCAATATCTCCCACCAACAGCTTCATATGCCTCTCCGCCTCCCGGCCATACCAACAATTCGCCCACTCATCCCCCGGTCCTCCATATTCCGACCACTAAGCACAATGGCTACCCGTAAGCATATCTCCAACAAACACTCCCACCAACAAAAGACTGACTTGAGTCCTCAAACCAGCTCCCCCCGACACCCGCCCCATCGTCGTCTCCGGTCCTTCTGGCGTCGGCAAGGGAACCCTCTACGGCATGCTCTTCGACCGTCACCCCGACACCTTCGCCCTGTCCGTCTCACACACCACCCGCGACCCCCGTCCTGGCGAGGAGCGCGGCGTCCACTACCACTACGTGACCATGGACGACTTTGAGGACCTCATTGCAAAGGATGGCTTCGTCGAGCACGCAAAGTACGGCCGCAACCGCTACGGCACCAGCAAGAAGACCATTGAGGAGCAGACCGCTAAGGGCAAGGTTGTCCTGCTGGACATTGAGATGGAGGTAAATGCTAACCGCAATGACTTAATTCACCAAAAGCGCAAGAGATCCAACAGATTCAGAGACTAATAGGGTGTATAGGGCGTCAAGCAAATCAAAAACTCCGGCATCTCGGCCCGCTACATCTTCGTTTCCCCGCCCTCAATTGAGACCCTGGAAAAGCGCCTGCGTGGCCGAGGCACTGAGACCGAGCAGAGCATCCAGGAGAGACTGTCTCAGGCCCAGAAGGAGCTCGAATTCTCAAAGACACCCGGCGTTCATGACATCATTATTGTCAACGATGACCTCGAGGAGTCATACAAGAAGTTGGAAGAGTTTGTTTACAAGTCTTAGGAGTAAAATCAATAACTGCACGATACGATTTCATGGCAAATACCCACCAAAAAGTCTCTTTCCTATACAGTATAGATAAGAGCGTCATTTGCAACATTCCTATTGCTGTTAGAATAGCCACAAGACGCAAAGGTTCACGAATCGATTCACGACATAGAGTCAAGCTTAGAAATATTAATATAGGAGATAAATGCAAAATTAATCAACATATCATACTCTCTCTCTCTTTCCATTCTGTCACTCTCTTCCTTAACAACTCAACTAACTGTAGGTATATTGAAAGTACAGGTATGGGGATCTGATTAAAACGTAAGAAAATGGTCAAGGAAGGCTCCGATGGTACTACTAAAAACAAAATAAATGCGTATTAAAAGACCGTAGAAGAGATAATTCGGACCACTGAGCGTATCACGGTGAGCAGAATTCATGCTGCCCTTAAAAACGTCGCATGGTTGGTGAGAGCGCGCCCAGTCCTCTTGTAATAGCATTCCGACTCCCAGTGCTCTCGTCTTTCTGCATTGCTTGAGTGAAAACAAAGCGAATATTGAGTCGGGTTGCAGTGCAGAGAAATCCGGTCCGCACATCTCCAAATAGAAAATACACTGCTTTTTACCGCGCATAACACCACCCACGACGAAAATAATCGTAAGACTGGCTGGTCGTCGTTCCATCTAGAGAACGCCATCACTCTCTACTGGCCAAACGTCAAGCACGAGCGAACATTTAGTATCCGTTGATGCCCATTCGCTGGGAGCCTCGGCTCATCTCACGATCAGCAGCAGGGCTGATCGGTCTGCTGGCGGCGCCACCACCGTGTGCGCTGCTCTCCTTCAGTGCAAGCAGCTGCTTAGCACGGAAAGTCTCGTAGTGGATCTGGGAGGTGGTCTCGATAAGGTCCTGGAGGTGGGTTCGGAGCAAGAAGTTTCGCAGGTAGACGAATTCGCAGTGGTTCTCGTCCTCAACGTTGATGACACCCCAGCGGTTCTGGCGACCACGGACTTGCTTGCCATTAACAATAATGTTGCTCTCAGAGCCAACAACCGCAAAAGGAACCAAGCTCTGTAAAGAGATATGCATGTCAGTCAAACATTTCTGGATACTAGCGACGATGGTGTACTATATGCGTACCTTGATCTGCTGGTTCAGGTTTCGCTCCTCGTCGTCAAACTCCTCGTTATCGTACGGGAACATCTTGAGGTTGTGGAAGGCAAACTCAGCCTTGATTCGCTCCTTGAACTCCAATCGCTCCTCAACAGTCAAGGTATCGGCCTTGGCAATGACAGGCACAACGTTGACAACATCGGACAGCTTCTTCAAGACGACAATATCAATGGGCTTGAGAGAGTGACCAGAAGGCTGGATGAAGAACAGACAGGCGTGGATGCGGGTGTCGGGGATGTAACGCTCTCGCTGGGCGGTAAGCTCCTTTCGCAGGTACGCGGAGTGCTGGTCCTTGATGTACTTGACGATGGGATCCCAACAGCGGTCGTTGTTGACAAGGTCGCCGTAGCCGGGTGTGTCGACGATGTTGAGCCTCAGACGGACACCATTCTCCTCAATGAGGTGAGAGACGCCCTGGATCTCGGTGGTTTGGCGAATGGGCTCGTCAGGCTGCAGGCGACCCTTGGAGTCGATGAGGTGCGAGGCGAAGATGGTGTTGATGAGCGTCGACTTGCCCAAGCCAGTCTGGCCTGTCAATCCAGTTAGTTTCCCATTCGGTTTTCGACAGCGTGCGCCACTTACCAACGCAAATAACGTTGAACTGAAATCCGCGCTTCAACAGCTTGCGCTCAATCTGCGACGTGATGCTGTCGAAACCAACATGGCTGCTAGGGGTGATTGTGGATGGAGTGGCCATCGTGACTGATTATGAGAGACCGGGAGAAACGAATGAAGGAGAAGGATGCTGTTAAGGAGTAAGGACAAAGCAATTCTTCCCTATTCCAAGAAAGAGCGTGGGCGTGGGCGAAAACGCGTGGAAGACGAAGGACAGCAGACGCGAGGGCCAGCAATTCAGAAAGCGGAAGCCTGATGGGTGGAATTGGAGGTTGTGAGAGGCACTGGCAGCGATCCTGGAGAAGGGGAACTTTTTGGACGGGCTGGCGGTGGCTCCTTACTGGGCCAGTTGGCGTGTTCTTGCCTTGCCAGGTAGTGCAAGCAATAATTTCGGCGTAGGGGCAGGAGCAGGCCAGGACACGAGAAAGGGGGGAATGGAAGGTGCCAGGGGTAGCATGGAGAGCTGCTAATTGGCTGCAGACCTGTCTGTGCTGTGGATGCTCGTGATTGGCTCGTATACCTGGCCAGAGGCACTAAGGCAGTTTAGCCCGGCACAGTTGCGAGAAGCCGCATTTGTGGCGGTACTTGGGTACTTGGGTACTTGGTTTCTTTGGGGTACCTGGCTTGGTGCTAGGCGGGATGTGGTGCTAGAGGCAAGATTTTGATGATCGATTTTTGATAAGGTGCGTATCACGAGCCACGACAGACTGAACTTCGCATCGAGCCGGTAACCAGACAAGACAACGAGCCGAGTCGACGATACGAAACTGCGATCGGAATACTTGTTCACAGGGCGCCTTGCATTGGAGGAGTTGGCTTCTGGGACTCTGTGGGCACAAACGTTTTGCGCAAGTCGCACCACCACGCAACGATATAGAATCCAAGAACAAACCGTCACAATGGCAGCAACCGCTTTTCTCCCTCGCCTCGCCTCTCCTCTCTCCCTCGCCGCTTCTCGCTGGGCGACATTCTATACCACGCCATATACCCTGAAATTTCTTCCCTCACTATCAATCGCAATTCCCGGCGTCACCATCAACATTCCCGGCCTGCTGGGCGACATTTGGGAATCGGTCCTGCGGGCAGTACCCAAGAACAAGGTCTCTCACTCAAAAAAGAGATCGAGGCAGATGGCTGGAAAGGCTTTGAAAGATGTCAACCATCTGTGCAAGTGTCCCGGCTGCGGAGAGATCAAGAGGACGCACAGGTTATGCCAGCACTGTCTTGAAGGTATGGCCACGGGTAGCAGATAGCTTTGAGATACAATACTAACCTTTTTTGCCTCTAGAAATGAAAAGGATATGGCGCCAGGACTATCCTTCAAGCAGTCCATTCTAAGAGCCCAGGTTGATGGCGGCTGGATTCCCTCTCACACCTATATCAAAGGCCTGTGTACTACAACCTCGGGTCAGATCAAGCTACCAGCTTGCATTTGCCTTACTTAGCAATGCTTTGTTTCATCATGTACCAATATGAAAATCAGGATAGAGGAATGGATGGTAGAAAAAAAATACTCCAAGCATAAATGTTGAAAAAAAATTACGAATATATGAAATAATATGTGCCAAATGGCCTGCGCAGGGTGCAGCACAAAATTCGTTGACAGACCTTCTAATTGTTTTATACGTAAAAATAATTTCTTCGTAATCGTCATGAATATTGATTGGTTGTAATCAATTGGTAGGATATGAATGGAGGGAAGCCCGCATAGCTGTCTAAGGACTTGCATCTGACGTTTGATGCTGCGGCGAACTTTCAACCCCACCAGCTCACAAGCCCCAAAGCTTCTACGACAGCGCTGTGAACAGCAACCACCAAGCAACAACAGCATTGTAGCAAAGCGACAATGGTAAGGCCCTCGCCAAATCTATCAAACTCACTTCATAGAATCTCACCTAACCGAATATTCAGTCCAAGCAATATTTAACCACCCATACGGTGGATGACGGTTAGTTTTCTTCCACTCACCAAAGGCCATGCAGCTGATGAGAGATTGCTTGCAGCCCACATTGCAGACATATTCTCACTGGCAGCATCACCAAAGACGCTGCTCTCAGCGAGTGGCTCCTCAACGCTTCATGTACACGATACCACTGATCCTTCTTACCCTCTGAAGCAGTCCATCCCCGGTGCCCACAAACTAGGCTGCCACCACATCTGCACATCGCGCAACGGCCTCTACGCCGCCAGCGCGGGCTTTGGGGGCGAGGTCAAGATTTGGGAGTATAACAAGGAGACGGGCGAATGGAACGACGGCGGAGAGGTCACAGGCCCAACGGTGAAGCCGGGCGAAGTATGGGCGATTGCTCTCAGCGAGGACGGAGGCTATCTGGCGGGCACCACCAACGATGGCCGGATCAACGTGTGGGATGTGGCAGATCGGAGCAGAGCCAAGATTAGGGAATACGAAACCGGCAGCGCAGGCTCCGGCAGCTTTGGCATGTGCGTGGATCTCAGTAATGATGGGAAATTCACGGCAAGCGGGCATCAGAATGGCTCTGTCTACGTGTTCAACAATGATACGGGGAGAATTCTATACTCCCTGTCCGGTACGTTACACCTTTTCTTTGACGTCTTTGAGTTTTTTTACATCTAACATGCAGCCACAGGTCTCGCAAAGCCCGTCCGAGCAGTAGCGATATCGCCTGCTGGTACTCGAGTGGCCGCGGCGGGTGATGCAGGTATCATCGCCATTTACGATACAAAGCACGGCGAACACGTGGGCAATCTTACGGGACATTCATCATGGATCACGTCACTCGACTGGAGTGATACTGGGGAATACCTCCTTAGCGGCTCGATGGATGGCAAGGTGAAAGTGTGGTCAATTGAGCGAGGCGTTTGTGTTGCAACGCACAGTGAGACAGACAAGGCTTTATGGGCCGTCCGATGGCTGCCCAAGACTGGGCGCAGTGAAATGTTCTGCACTGCTGGCGCAAATAGGAGCCTTTCATTTTACAGAGAGGCAACGGGAAGTTGAGATAACCATCAGCAAGACAGGAATTAGAACAGAATCTTAGCATTATATCTTATGCAGAGAAAAGAAATCGAACTCATACATCCTACAAAACCTCACGCAAAGCTCCCATATTGATAGTTGGGATGGATGCCATCACTAACACGTGACGTCGCTCCAGTCTCGCGTTGCCCCGCCAAACATTAGCGCCATTCTAGCGTCATTATCCCTCGCCGTCATCCATCTTTCAGCAGGCAGCCAAGCAGTAACTCCACTTGATTTACGTGTGTTCCTGCATCTCATTTATACGGCCAGTCTTTAACGATCTACATCATATAAACAAGAGGCATTGGCTCCTACAAACCAATTATTCGGCCTATATTTCAGCGGAACAATTACTGCGCCATACTCAACTATTCGATATCATACGAAAACAGCGCTACAGGGTATCTTTGCCCAGCAATGCCTACAACAAGAAGATCAGCGGCCAGCGCCCGGGGCCGCCCTGGTCCTGCCAAGGGACAATCAACAATCAGCTTCTCGGGCAAGGTCACAAAGGCCGTGCCCAAGGATTTGAAGAAGGCAGTAGTCGATGCGCCTATGATTGCCAGAACTACCATCCCCGAGCGGCCAGCGGCCAAAGACGAAGTTCGCAAAGAAGAGGAGGAAGCCGTTAATGTCGCTGTAGAAGAAACGGAGGTTGTTGAGCCGGAGAAAGAGGAGGAAGTAGAAGAGATTATTGAACAAGTTCCAGAGAAATCGGAGGCTGAGTTGAAAGCTGAAAAGATTACTGATACTCAGATCAAATCGTACTGGAAAGATATTGAGAAGCAGCGCAAGGCACCTCGAGTCCATCAGCAAGATCTTGATTTGGGCGAAAAAGTACTTAGATACTTTGATGTGAGCTCGCAATACGGAGTAAGTATATACGTCTCTATCCTTTTCTCTGTCTTAATGTTATGATATATGTGGATTGGGACATCTGTTAACACGTTGTTTTGAAGCCTTGTATTGGAATGACTCGCTTGAAGAGGTGGCAGCGGGCTGAGCGACTGGGTCTGAATCCTCCGATTGAAGTTTTGGCTGTGCTTGTTAAGGAGGAAAACAGGAACAACGACGAGGTGGAGACTGCCCACATTGATCGGATAATGAATGCTACAGCCCTGTTTACATAGGATGAAAGCACAAGGAGGTATTAATTTTCGAATGTCGGGTGGCGGCGTTGGGTGCAAGACACGATGGTGCTTTGCTGGTTTCTAATATTTTCATTGTTATGAGTTATGGCGGGTATGATAGCTGCATAATACTATAGGTAGATAGGTACTTAGTATTATCTTTGCAAATGTACACGGATACGTAAACGTTAATTCTATGACGTGGTTTCCCGCGGTTGGTTTATTTCATACAAGGCGCTGTCAATCAACACCTATTTCAGCCAAGATACAACATTAATACCAGATGCTTCGTGTTCGGTGGTGAGGAATAGACTCCTTTCCTGCTGCTTCCATTTCCTTCATTGTATCGTAAAGGAAAAAGTCGATCAAAATAGCATTGACATGAGTATCTGGGTGCGCACTCTGGATCTCTCTCCGTATCAACTCAACGCACCAGATACTGCAAGCTGTTTCAACCTTTGTCAGCAGAGTCTAAGGAATACTTTGAGTGATGCAAACTCTTACCTCTTAGCTGTATCTCCCACCGGCTCCCGCTTTCAATAAGCTTCTTATCGCGAATAGCAGCGTCAATCTGTGGACCGATATACAAGGCACCCAAGGTGGACAGAATCTGCGGAACACGATAATCGGCAAACATGGTGATCTTGTCGATATCGCGGAATTCGCCATATGACTTACCCTCAAAACAGGCCCATATGTCTGCAACGAAGATTTGGGCACGTTTCATGATGCGGATAGGGGCTTTTCTGCCTTCGAACGGATGCTCGTCTCTGAAGCAGTCAAAATCCCGGGCAAGGATATTGACTAGCTGGGCCGCGGAGCCCTTGGCGGCGGAAATGAGATTAACGACGGAGCATTCGTATTTCTTTTGGTTTTGAGTTAGTAGATATCTTCATTTTGAAAATGGATTTTCTAGAAATTTTGACATACGGTATAAAGCACATTACCACTTTCTCTAAGGCAGTTAAGCCGCTCTTGCAGCAGGGGCATTTCTTCTTCTGTGCAGGATCTGAAGACGTGTCTCAGGGATTCCAAGTTACATTCATCCTCATTTTGCCAGTAGTGAGGATCCGTAATGGGGATATCTACAGAGCAATATGGTCAGCCGTTAACTTACTTTTGTAATACCTAGTATAATCAAATGGTCACTAACCTTCTTCAAGCGCTCTCTGAATTGCCGCTACAAGACTCCAGTAACCCGTCCATCTCTTCCCCTTGTACTCGATAGCAAATCTCTCGTCATCAGGCAGCTCAGACCAGAATGAAAAGTTGAGCAGGTCCATGGTGAAGATGAAAGCGGCCGTGGCTTCATCCTTGGCCTTGGGATGCAGCTCATGTGAAGACCAGGTGGAAGTAGAATAGCTCTTCTCTTGCATCTGGGCATAAATAGTCTCTGCGGCACGCTTTGTTGAGCGCATATCAATGGCTACGTCGATTCCATGGTCGTAGACATATTCAGCATCAGCGAGGACTCCTGTCTCGGGCTCTTCGTCCTTGATGGAGACGCCCTGGAGGTGCTGCCGAAGAATGGCGAGGAGTTCGAGATCCACCTCGTCGTCGGACATTTTAGAGAAAAGGGAGTGCGGTGAATGATGATGTCGTAATTTTGGACTTGACCTAGTTTGATTCGACTTAGATGTCTTTAACGAGAGGTGTTGAATGAGTTTCTCACAGGCGGGTGCAACGCTGTGAATAGCACCCCGCTGAGTGGAGGACTGGTGCTTGGAATCAAGGCCTAATCAGGGCTTGCTGCTGGGAAATGGGAATTTGCTATTATAAAGCCCTGACATTTGCATATCATCTGTTTCACTACATAATTGAACCTCGACTTTGATCGTAACTATACATACTTTCTGTAATTATTTCCATTCAATTTACATACAGAAAAACCTACATAGTACCACCAAAGCACGTCTCAGGACTAGGAAAAAAACTCCGTCCCGTTCAGGCACACACAACCTTGTCTCAAGTCGCAGTCGCACCTCTTCCCGCTCAGCGCACTCTTCCTTATCTTAGCGCTCCCTATCAGTTGCTGCTCAGCGCACGGACCCCTCGGCTCTATTCCCCCGGGGCCTCTGACCTCATGCAATTGGTCGCAACTCAGCTTTTCGACTGCCTCGTCCGCTGTACTTCAACGCCCTGCAGCTGCCTGCGCCGAGCATCGCCAGACCAGCAGCTGAAAAGCGACGGCGTGTTGGCGCAACCAATTCGACGCCCATCTCTCCTCGCTTGCGACCGATCACCTTCAAACTCCATCTCCAGATTGCATCTCCAAACGATCTTCATCGCCACCATCTTCGAATTGCTGCACTTGAACTCCCGCTTTGATAGCGGCGATGGAGGCTCCCAACGAAGCTCCCGCGGATGCGGCTGGCGACAGCGTGCAAACCACCGCTGCTACTGCTGCCGCTGTCCAGGAATCTCATCAGCCGCAAAGAATTGTCGCGTCGCATCCTGCGCCCCCTCAGCGAAATCCAATGATTACACGCGATCGATTTAATCATCAGTCGCTCGGCGCATCTTTAAACTCCTCGGTTAAGCATGTACGTTTATTTGGTGACGATCCTGAGAGCTCTTAGCCGCATCGCACCATGATCTGCCTTGAAGATCAATCTCTATCTTCGCTCCAAACTATTTCCCTCTTCCCTTACGAATTAATGGGCTTTGTTGTTTCTATTTGCTTTTCGCAGATGCATCTTTCAGATACTAATCCCTATCGCAGGCGCGGGTGCTCATGGTGGGCGCTGGCGGCATCGGCTGCGAGCTTCTGAAAAACCTCGTGCTCAACGGCTTCGGCGAGATTCACATTGTCGACCTCGACACGATCGATCTGTCCAACCTCAATCGCCAGTTCCTCTTCCGACATGAACATATCAAGAAATCAAAAGCATTGGTGCGTTTGGATACCGAGGTTGCGCCAATGTTGCTTGGCTGTCGCAATGCTAATTAATGGAGCAGGTTGCCAAAGAGGCGGCACAGAGATTCAATCCGAACGTCAAGATTGTTGCGCATCACGCCAATATCAAAGACTCCGAGTTCAGCGTTCCTTGGTTTCGCGACTTCAAGATCGTTTTCAATGCTCTAGACAACCTCGACGCCAGACGGCATGTGAACAAAATGTGTCTGGCGGCAGATGTTCCGCTAATCGAGAGCGGAACGACTGGTTTCAATGGCCAGGTTCAAGTCATCAAGAAGGGCATTACTGCTTGTTACGACTGCACTCCCAAAGAGACACCCAAATCATTCCCTGTCTGTACTATTCGAAGCACACCGAGCCAGCCAATCCACTGCATAGTTTGGGGCAAAAGTTATCTGCTAAAGTAAGAAGCACCTTGTTATATATGGCGCCCATTTTTCCTCGTCATGCTTCTTTACTAACGTCTTTTCAGTGAAATATTTGGCGTCAGCGAAGATGAATCAGCTTTCGATCACTCAGCAGATGCGGATAATGGTAGGACTCAGAATGTCTATGCTGCCAGATGGGATTCCACGCTAACTAATTACTACCAGCCCAGGAAATCGAGGAGTTGAAGAAAGAATCAGAAGCACTAAAGAAGATTAGAGACGCAATTGGAACACCCGAGTTTCCGAGACTGCTCTTCGACAAGGTTTTCAATTCCGATATCGAACGCTTGCGCTCTGTTGAAGACATGTGGAAATCGCGTCGCGCTCCTGAAGCGCTCAAGTACGACGATGTACTTGCACGAGCTAATCAGAGCGTCGAGTCCAAAGATGCCATACTGGCAGACGGACAGAAGGTCTGGACCCTTGAAGAAAGTCTTGTTGTCTTCAATGACAGCCTCGACCGGCTTAGCAAGCGACTGCTTCAGCTGAAAGCGACAAAGGGTGCTGCGTCGCCTGACCCAACCATTACCTTTGACAAGGATGACGAAGATACGCTGGACTTTGTAGCATCCAGTGCAAATATTCGCTCCACCATATTCGGCATTGATTTGAAATCTCGCTTCGATATCAAGCAGATGGCCGGCAACATCATACCGGCGATTGCTACAACAAATGCAATTGTCGCAGGCCTCTGTGTTTTGCAGTCCTACAAAGTGCTCAAAGGAGAATATGCGCAGGCCAAAGAAGTCTTCTTGACGCCCTTTGCCAACGCAAGACTTTTGGCTCCGGATAGAAACCGAGAGCCCAACCGCGACTGTCCTGTCTGTGGCATTTATTATACCAGCATCGTTGCCGACCTAAGTAGAGCAACACTGCACGATATTGTCGAGGGTTTGGTGAAGACTCAGTTCGGCTATAGAGATAAAGAGTTTTCCGTGAGCAATGACGTGGGCGTGTTATATGATCCTGATGAGACAGATAATCTCGAGAAGAAGCTCACAGAACTTGGTACGGCATCAGCTTTCTCATTTATCCATTGTATCAAAACTACTAACATCTCTGCAGGTATCAAAGGAGGCAGTTTCCTCACTATCACTGATGAGGATGATGAAGATACGCTCGTCAATGTGGTGATTGATATTCAAGACGGGTATGAATTTAACGAGTAACAGAAAGTCTGTTCTTGCCAGGAAGATGCTAACCGATGGCAGGATCTTGGATACCCAAAAAGAGTCATTCCGCCCGGTACACGCTGGGCGTCCCGAGATTCCTCACAAGCCAAAGAAACCTCCGCCAGTTGAGACCAATGGCAACGGCCACGGCCAACAAAATGGAAAGCATTCGCTAGATGATGCGATGGTGGTGGAGGAATCCAAGGGCACTAAGAGGGCGCTTCCTGATGATGAAAGCCCCCCTTTCAAGAAGGCCAAGATGATTAGCTCGGTAGATGAAGAAGTAGTCGTCGTGGAAGACGCCGGCGGAGCCATCGTCATCGACGACTGATGATAGAGTTACGGACACACATGCTGCGCTGTCTTCAAGCAGCACTCAGCCCACCGTCTAGGTTGAGGATGCAGTTGTTTGCGAAACCGTTGGACGCCAGAAACAGAGCGGCATCAGCAACCTCTGCGGGATCCGCTACTCTATTAAGAGGCGTATCTTTGAGGTAAGCCTGCTGGAGTTCTGGCTTGAGATCTAATGATGAGATGTACATTAGCTTGGGTACATGAGCCACGAGAGCATTACACTATAGGAAGCATGAAAGAGCAAAAAGCGGCTGGGAGGAAGATACAGACCAGTCCACATGGAGCTGTTAACCCAACCGGGCAGCAGAGCATTTACACGGATAGATCGAGACGCCATCTCACGGCACAGGGCACGGGTAAAGCCTAGGAGAAGAAGAAGATTAGCTTCCGACCACATGATGAAATGTAAAAAAATAACAATGAATGTTAAAAATATATATCAAGAAAATTTGAGATATAGTAGCAATATGATCCGCTCTTACCAACTACGCCGGCCTTGGATGCGGCATAAGCTGTAGCGCCAAGCCCCCCCTTTGTTGCCATGAGGCTGGAGACGTTTATGATACAGCCTGAGAGGAAAGTGGAATGATTAGTTTAGCTGAGGAGGTATGTGAAGCACTGATAAGGATGTAGAGAGACTAACCGTGGGGTCTCATTTTTGCGTGCTTGCATACGAGCATCGTGGCAAGTAGATTTGTGTCGACAATACTTGATAGTTCCTCATCTGGAGTTCGCTTCAAAAAGGTGGTCTGAGAGATGCCGGCGCAATTGACGAGGATATCGATGGGTCCAATGGAGGCGTCGTCTTGAGGCTATTTTTTATGAGTTAACGATTCCAATCTTAGTAAGTACATATTTTACGAGAAACTCATAAAGTTTGCCGTGTGTATGAAAGTAAAGTAAAAATAGCTTTCTTCAGTCTATCAAAACTATAAATAGATATCAATGTATTTACCTTTGACGGCAATGTCCGTGAGCCAAACAAGGCCTTGATTTGTTCCCTATTGGAAGCATCCAGACGAATAAACCGGTGAGCCGAAGGAATGCCATCCGCAGCAGCAGCAGCAGCAGCAGCAGCGTTTCCCGTGCCATCGCCAGTCTCGGGTAGGCTATACGGACGAAGCTGCGGTTCTAGCTTATGGCGAGCCTGGATGGCTGAGCGGCCGAGCAGCGAGACGACGGCGCCGTGCTGGGCAAAGGCCTTTGCAATGGACGAGCCAATGACGCCTGTGGCGCCGACGACGACGCAGTGCCTTCCGGCAAATTGCAAGGCCATGGTGTTTTGTGTTGTTGTCGTGGTATTGTCCGTGGCTAATGGGCATGGCACGAATAATGTTTGCTTCGGCGCTGCTTTGGAGAATTCAGTGGGGCCTTGCCGGGAGGACTAACGGCGGCGCCGGGACTGGTCAATTACGCGGCGGAGGATGAAAAGCACAAGCATCATGCATCTCATGGCGAGAAAAAGTAGCACATCGGATGCTACTACTAGTAGTACTACTACCTACTTAGTACTTGGCTTAGCACCTACAGCGGGGAGACATAAGAAATGCATCAAAAGTACTAAGTACTACTAGTATTTGATTTCATCTATCGCCTCTACTCTCTCCTTCTGCTGCTGCCGCTGCCGCGACTGCTCGGCCGTCTCCAGCTGCCCGTGCTGCAGCTCTGCAGCTCTGCAGCTGGCGAAGGATTCCAGTCTGTCGTGGGGGTAGGTGTTTTGCACGTCCGGGACTGGGAACTGCTCACCCTTACGAGGCAACGCGACGGCGCTCTCGTCACCGAGTGATCCCGAATTCTGAATTCTGGCCATGAGACCGACATGCACATCACTTGAATGGGTAAGAGGGAGGGCAGTCGAGAGATCATTTCTTGCAATTTGCAATTTGTGGTTCCCACAGTGAAAGATGCTTCTTGAATGTATGCACCCAGCCGCAGGCCAGCGGCGTCTTGCTCCGTTTTGCAACATTCCCGCCAGTCTCTGAGAGACATAGCCCATCGTACAGCAACGCGGTCATCCTGTTTCACTCCACCCAACCCTAATCAGATCAACGCCTCGAGGAACGCGAGGGAGCCATTGTCCTCGCCCCTGATACCCAGCATGCCCGGGAACCCACTACTAACCAGCGTGCCGTACCGAAAGAGGATGCCGGCTAGCCTCGCCACTTCCATTTGCTGACGTTCCGCGTGCAACGGCTGTGCAATGGAGCAAAAGGTATCCCAGAAGCGCCTCCTCGCCTGGTCGGCGTTTTCATGGTATGTCCAACCAGTCAGGTACATGTCTCCGAGAACGCTGTCCAGCGCATAGAGGGAAAAGCCGAAGGGTAGGAGGCTCGCCTCAGCCCAGTCGACAACCCCTGTCAAGGCGCCGCTATCCGGGTCGACGAGCATGTTCATTTCGCTGAGGTCGCCGTGGGTGAGGACGATAGGGTAGCTTCCAGAAAAGAGTCCGTCCATGTTCTCGCGCACCTGGGCAACAACTGGTATCAAGTGCCCAGGGAGAGATTCGGAAAGCGCATCGAGCCTAGCCTGACACGTGGCCGCGAGATCGCCGTGTTCCTGGGAAGTCAAATTATCTGGTCGACCTCGCGTCCAGGCCTGAGCAAAGAAGCTGTTGCCAGGTCAGCTCGTCAGCTCGTCCGCTCATCGTCATCACACCGGCGTCTGAGAAAAGGCAGGGAAGGGAAGAACGGAGCTGGCCAGCCGGCAATACTGCGTCTTGTCGCACCTACCTTGCCAGGCTGTCCACAAAGTTTATCATTGTGTTTTCGTCACTTGGCAGCGATTCGGCCATGTACGAGTAATTGACTCCAGGGAGCTTGTTCATCTTGTACACCTCGAGCCCACTCTCCTGCTGCCCTCCCAACGTACCAACGCGACTGAAGGATGGAACCAGTTCTCCGTGCGCTCTGGAAAGTAACGCTGTAACGGCCGTGAGCAGCAGGGGGCTGTCTTGCTCTCGGAACTGGATTATCACCGTGTCGTTGCGGGCCGACACGGTGTAGCTGAACCTGCCCTATGGCTGGACAACCGTTACGGGCCCCCCAAAGGTGCTCATGGCGAAATTATCGCAGTCCGCCCTGGTCGCGGACTTGGTCAGGAAGAAGAGGCTGATAATATCACCAGAAGAGGACATGGCGAACGTGATATTATGCTGTGATTGCTTCGAATAGGCAGACTCCCTATGGTGCGAACGGGTGAGTTTCCGATCTTATGAGGCAAGGATCTTATGAGGCGAGGATCTTATGGCGGCGAGAGAATGACGGTGAGGCGGTGCGACACGACCTGGCTAGGCAGCAGCGTGTGACAGACAAGGCGGAAGCATGACGTTTTGTATGAAGTCCAGGTCACTGCTGGTGGTCTGTTGTGCTGGGCTTCGGGTATGGAGCTGTTGGTGGGCAAAGCCGGTGATTGTAGAGACGCGTCTAACGACGCAACAGCCAGGTGGCCGTAGGTCTCGGAGAAGCGACCTCTCTTTGTATACCGGCCCTCTGAGTCGGCCGGTGGATGCTCGGTATGCAATAGAATATATAGGTATTTGCTACTCCTCAGTTTAGTCAATAAATTAAGCCAGTGTGTTTGTTCAACTTCTGAGTCGCAATTGACCCCTTTCTTGGGTTTTGGAAACACTACACATGAATCCTCGAAGTCTTTCCACTCCTCCTCCTCATCCGACTGGTCCTCCCGCTGCTGCTCATCGTTGTAAGCCGTCAGTTCCTCAGCCTCCGCACGATCCCGATCCCTCTCCATGCGGACGCTAAAATGCTTGACTTCGTGCACGCGTTGCGTCTGGTAGTTGCTCTCGAAGATGTTGGTGTTATGGCTCACCACGAAGTGCCGTAGGACCTATGACAGGGTGCTATCGTACTCCACCGAGACCCCAACCCGAAACGCATAAACACCTCCCAGCATGGAGAGGCCAGCTATGAGAAAAACGCGACTTGGGATGGGCTAGAAGGTGGTGTGGGGACACGGGGAATATTTCCCTGCCGACGATATCTTCACGCCAGGGGACGAGTGCTGTACTGAGTCCCATCTTGTTGGCGCCTCCGTGATGTGGGCGACTGGGCCTTTTATCATCGGTTGAGCCGGAGTGATACTTGGGGCGTTTCAACACCATCCAGCGGTTCTCCGGGTTCTCTCTCACGGGTTCTCTCTCATGGGTAAGAAGATCTCGGCGTCGGCTATGGCGATGGTGGACTTCCACAACGAATTGAGAGACCTGCTTGATTTGACGTCCCTCTCTTCCACCTCTCTCTTAGGAGGGCCGAGGACGAGGCGTGTGGCCTTCGAGTTGGCGACATATGTCTGAAGAAAAGTCTTGCAGTTTTGCAGTATTGCAGGCGACAGCATCGCTCCGGCACAGATCGATCCAGAGGTAATCTACGTCAACTTCCTCAAGGTATTTACATGTAGCTGAGAGGGTGTCAGCAAGAGATGACGAAAGATGAGGTTGTGCAAGGCACCAAACTTACTCGTGCCAGATTTCTAGAGCCCGCTCTCGCTGGATCTCTGTCGAATCCGCCATCTCGGGCTTTGCCGTCGGCGCGCGGCTCCGAAAAAAAGGGAGACACTGGGCTCGTTCGATGTGGGAGAGGCGTCAACTTCTGCTTTTCCTGCTCGACATGGCGCCGGGCACCGCGCGATACTAATGGGCAAGAGTTGGTGTGTGAGGAGTGGGAGTTTGGGAAGTGTGCGGGCGGGCAAGCCATTTACGCCTGCCCTCGCGGAAATCGACTCCCATGAGACAAGCCTTGGAGGCTGGTTCTGTGATTCGAGTGTCTTATGCTATTTGCGTTATGAGTTCTGACACAAGTTGTGAAAATGGGCACTCGCCGCCCGACTCTCGCACCGGGACTCGCTGCCTTTACCAGCTGTGTTGGATTTGAGCAACCACATCGTGACATCTAAGTAGTAGTAACTGTATTATGTAGAAGCGCACTGCTGGTAGGTATAGATATAAATTGGGTTGATGTCAGCGGGAAGTTGACCCACTAGGCCTACTACTTACCTACCTAGGTATTTATCTACTGTACCTAGTAGGTATTTACCAGTAGTAGTACTAGTAGTAGTAGGCAGTACTTATCATCCTCAGCATGCGCCTACCGCGGCAGTCGCGTCAGACATAACCGGTACTCTGCTCAACTCGTATAATCGGAGACTCACGGACTAATAGCCGGCCCAGGGGCTGTTTTGGCGTCGTCTTTGGCTTACCTCGGGGCGGAGTAGCGCCTGGAGGGATCTGCAATAGGCAGTCGGACAGCGGGTTGCCTCTCTCGTGCTGCTGTGCTTTTACGAGTGGGAGCGCCAACAGGTGTTGCTGGGCAATCTCGAATGAGGGCCGCCAGAGTAGATGAGGTGAAATTCTAAAAACGGGCATTGACCGGCTTTGCGTTTGCACGCGAGTATGGAGGAAAAAGTATGATGCCCATATTTCAGTGCATGGCATCAGTTTTCATTCGTTATAGGTGACGGCACCAGCAGTTATAGGGCTTGGTGGCTTGAACTCGGCTGCCAGTTTTTTCTTCTTCTCAATTGATTCTTTATAATCCCCATTCCCCATTCCCCAGTGCCAGTGCAGTGCCAGTGCCAGTTTAATTTTTTTTTCTGCCAGGGCTCTCTCGTCGCATTCGCACTTCACTAGAGCTAAAACTGCGACTCCCACCTCACTAACAGACCGGGACACAGGTCCTTGCTTTTTCCCTCTCTTTCATTTCCCTCCACTATCACTCCATGTCGGATCCTGAGCTCGTCTCTCGACGATACACTGAGCTCTTGTTTCCCGACAGCACCGCCGAGTGCCTGGGATTTCCACCATGAACGGCACGCGACGCGATGCCCCGCCGCATCATCACCAGAAGAATGGCGATGTCCCCGACGCGGGGCTGAGGAGCCTTGATCACTGTAGGTTTCTCCAACGCGGCAGCCCCCCTCTCCACCGATATGTTGTGGCCTCTAGAGATGGATAAAGCGGAATGGAAGTACGCATGAAAGAAAGAGATTTTTTTTCTCACAGTGGCGGTTACAATGTGATTTGGAAGCTGAGAGGAGAAAAATAAAGGACGAGGAGAGACATGAGGTGGAAAGCTGGCATCTAGAAGCTTGAAGACGAACCCCCGAGCTGACACATGACAACGTGTAGATAAGAGAGCGCTGCCAAAATGGAGATACAACCTGCGACAACAGGCACTTCCTCTTGTTCGGTGGGAGACGCCGTACCTTGCTGCGCTCCAGAGCAAGCTGCGCACGCCGGCGCTCGACAGCTACTTCGCCATCACCGCCAACCTCGGCACTCATACGTTTTTCATGATCTTCCTGCCGATGCTGTTCTGGGGTGGCTATGCGGCCTTTGCTAAGGGGTACGTTTTGCAGATATAGAAGCCATGTGTCCTTTGATCAGTGTACTATCGAGGCAGAGTTGCTACTCTTCGTTTTACGCTGCTGTTTTGTCCGATATTCGAGCTAGGAAAATCGAGATGCTAATATCGCATGCGCAGGCTGGTCCACATCTTGGCGCTGGGTGTCTTCTGGACAGGCTTCGTCAAGGATTTCTACTCGCTGCCTCGACCGCTGTCGCCGCCTCTCCACCGTATCACCATGTCTGGATCTGCTGCGCTCGAATATGGCTTCCCATCCACCCACAGCGCCAATGCGGTTTCGGTCGCCGTGTATGCCATTCTGCACTTGCGAAGCCCCGATAACCCCTTTTCTGAAACGACGAAGCTGGCTCTCGAGATGCTGTCGTACTTTTATGGTGTATCAATCATCTTTGGGCGCCTCTACTGTGGCATGCATGGATTCTTGGATGTCATCATAGGATCGGTAATGGGGGCTGGTATCACCTTGCTGGAATACTATTTTGGGCCGCCGTTGGATGCCGCTATGCAGTCCAGCTCCTGGGTGGCTCCCGCCTTGATCGGCCTCGTCATTGTCATTCTTATACGGATCCATCCCGAACCAGCAGACGATTGCCCCTGCTTTGACGATAGCGTGGCCTTTGCCGGTGTAGTCATTGGGCTGGAGGCTGGAACTTGGACCGCTGGAAGATCGTTTCTAGCTTACGCCGAGGCTAGCATGGGCGCTCTGCCGTACACATGGTTGGTTGTCGCGGCGAGGATGGTGGTTGGGATCGTCGTCATCTTTCTTTGGCGCGAAATCATGAAGCCCACACTGCTCAAAGTGCTGCCCCATGTATTCCGGCTTATTGAGTCGACCGGATATGACCTGCCTCGAAGGTTTTTCACACCGGCTAGCGAGTACAAATCTGTGCCTCCTGGATCACGGCTGGATACCCTCTTCCCTACAGCCTCTGACTTCCCTCGCATGGTGGAGAGTATTCGACACCCTACAACTCGAGGACGAGCCGTCTCCGTCGGACCACAGAGCGCAGCAGATGCGTACGAAACCTTGGCTTACCGAGAGCGGCAACGAAGAGACAGCATTGGAAGCAACTCTAGCCTAAAGGGCAAATCAAACCTTTTGGACCTTGACGAGGAGGACGAAGATAAGTCAGGCAAAGGTGCCCATACTTCTGGGGTTCAAAAGCCGGCTTACAAAGAGAATGAGCCGTCGAGAGGCCCAAACGACATCCCTGCCGTGCAAGTAGGGGCAGAGAATGGGAGTCTAGACGCCTATCTTACCATGGAAAATGCGCGCGAAGAAAAGGAGATGTTTTCGCAACTGGTGAGGCCGCGAGTGAGATACGACGTCGAGGTTGTCACAAAACTGGTGGTTTATTCAGGTAAGCTTATGATACTTGCTAGGTTGAACATTGAATGTCTATTAACATGATGATGAAACCACACAGGAATCTCATGGTTTACAGTCGCTGCAATTCCCGTGTTCTTCTATTTCCTTGGTCTCGGCGTTGTCCATACGGCGGTTCCGTGGGATAAGCTGCTGGTCGCGAATTGAATGGTCCATCGTCCACGGCGGGTTGCGATTTTTTTCTCTTTCTTCATATACTCTTCTCTTTTGATGAATGAATATAAGGATGTAAGGGGCGTTTCTTAAATTTTTTTTTTTTTCTTTTTTTAATTTCAATTTTTCACCACTACACATCTGGAAGGGAATGCTACTCTTCTTCTTTGTTCATGGGGCATATACCTCTATTTCTTTTCGTTTCTGGCACGGCGACGGGTTCGCGTTACTTTAAAAGACAAGCTGGCTCGCGATATAACGGAAAAGCATGTGTCTTAACAGTGCTGGTTTTGGTGGCTCCTGTCTTGGCCCGTATTATTATTACAGTTTCTAGTTTCTATTTCCTTTCTTTGTTACTATTAGCCTTCTTGTATATATTGAAAAGAGCTGGTGGGCATGATGGAGTGAAAAGTAATTATTACAAGTATATCATCCATAATATGGTACATGCAGTCATTTATCTGATAGACTATTTGCGTTCCATCTTAGATATCAAATGTGGCTAATTGCTTCAGTGGGGGCTTGGCTGCTCTGAATCGCTGTGGCACAGTTACAGGGGTTTTAATGGGCAGAACACGTCTAGGCGCGTGTCGGCGCTGTAGCTCGTCTGCCTTGCGCATGGTGGGAAAAATCAAGTCGGCAAATGCACGCTGTCACATAACCGGACTTTCATTTCGAAGTTGGATATTCGGTGCAATCACTTGAAAGAGACTTGAATTTCTTATTCAATTGCCATATCGAGCTTTCCCCTCCTCCAAAATGTCCGACTACGAGGACGAGATGGACGTCGATGGCCCTGCGCCATCTGCCGACATCACTTTTTCGGCTGAGGCGACCAAGGGCAAGAGGAGTGCTGCCAATCTACCAGTTGAAGCCGAGGACAGCTTACCATGGTGCGTACAGAATGCTCATTGAGAGAGATATTGGCCAGAACCATCACTGACGCTTCTACCTTGCAGGGTTGAAAAGTACCGACCAGTAACGCTCGACGATGTGTCCGGCCACCAAGACATCCTAGCCACCATCAACAAGTTTGTCGAACAGAACCGCCTTCCTCACCTGCTTCTCTACGGCCCGCCCGGTACGGGCAAAACATCGACCATCCTGGCCCTCGCGCGGCGGATCTACGGCGCCTCCAACATGCGGCAGATGGTGCTGGAACTGAACGCCTCAGACGACAGAGGCATCGACGTGGTACGCGAGCAGATCAAGACGTTTGCTAGCACCAAGCAGATCTTTTCCATGGGCGGCGGCGCGGCAAAGTCAAATTCCATTGCTGGCTTCAAGCTCATCATCCTAGACGAGGCGGATGCCATGACCAATACCGCACAGATGGCTCTACGAAGAATTATGGAGAAGTACACGGCCAACACGCGGTTCTGCATCATTGCCAACTACGCACACAAACTCAGCCCGGCGCTGCTGTCTCGCTGTACGAGATTCCGGTTCAGTCCGTTAAAGGAGGGGGATATCAGGGTGTTGGTGGAGAAGGTGGTGGAGGAGGAGAATGTCAAGATTCAGGGCGAGGCGGTGGATGCGCTGGTGAAGCTGAGCAAGGGCGACATGCGACGGGCACTCAATGTGCTTCAAGCGTGCCATGCATCAAGTGAGTCTTGCTGTCATTCATGATACGAGGTGGGGATAGAAGAGCTGACTGGAATCATGTCATAGGCACGCCATTGAGGTTAAAGAACGAGCCCAAGCCGCCGGAGAGCGAGATCAAGCGCGAGACGATTACGACAGAGACGATATACAACTGCATTGCGGCGCCGCAGCCCGACGCCATCAAGGACATTGTCGAGACGCTGCTGAGCACGCCGGACGTGACGAGCTGCCTCAACACCATCAACGCGCTGAAGACGACGCAGGGCCTGGCGCTGGCCGACATCATCACGGCGCTGATGGAGCAGCTGACGAAGCTGGAGGTGAATGCAGAGGTCATGATCACCTGGCTGGAAGGGCTGGCGGAGATTGAGCACCGCGTTGCCGGAGGGGCCAGCGAGATGGTGCAGACGGGAGCTGTGGTGGGCGTTGTGCGAGGAGGGGTGGAGTTGATGAGCAAGTGAATACCAGTGATTGCATGACCAGGTGCTCAGTCATGCTGCTGTAATGGCATGTTTTGTTAATGAAAGATGAAGACAAAAGGAACAAGAATTCATAAGTGGCACGATAACTACTCAATACTCTGAAGTTGTTGGTTGATTGATAATGCTCACCGTGTAAGTTGCATCAACCAAGTCTAACATGTAGCTTAGCTGCGTGTGGCGCCTCGGCTTCCGCCTAAGAGGTCCCTGGGAATTCTTGCGGTCCCTGACGTCAGAAATCGCGCGCGCGTATTGGCAATCAAACAATCAATCGCTACGGAGTCTTTTTTTCTTCCCCTTCAGCACCAGACCCTTAGCCTTTCCATGCTACCTACCGTAGGTACCTTAGCGACGGTACCCAGGCTCCGGAACGACAAACGACTTGCGAGAAGCCATTCCCCGTATACACTCCAATCAGCTCACTCTCTTTTCTCTCTCTTTGTCGGCTTTTTAGCCTCATCGGTCAATTCCCAGCACAGCTATGGGGCGCTGCCACCCAAACGGACCTGGTGAGGCTTATCGAATCGGCACCTGAAAGTCCGGGGGGGTTGGGTGATAGTATAGCGCCGTCGTATTTTCCATGAATTCCAAGCCACAAGAAGGAACTTGGTCTTACCAACCTGGCACCGGTGGACAAACAAAACATCCTTACACGCATCGCCAATCGTTCTTCTACTTTCCACAGATCCGAGATCCAGGCACACACCCAAGAAAGCTCGGGGGCTCCCCACATCCTTCCCTTGAACCGCACCGCAATTGCCACCCGCAATTGCCGCCTGTAAGCTTGCCAAACGCGAAACAAGGGCCCAGGTTCGAGGAGAGAAGTGAGAGAGAGAGAGAGGAGGAGGAGGAAATAAGCAGAAAAAGGCGGTTGCTCGTATAAAAGCCCCCGAGGCTGGTGGAGCGGCCAGCATGTCGGTCTCTGCCTCGTCCATCTCCGCTGCTTCGCCAGTAGAGACCGCAGCGATGCTTTCAGCGAGCCCGAGCGAGGCGCCCAACTCTGCGCCGCCCGCGCTGCCCTTGCACGGCGTCGACGTTCACAAGATTCCGCAGATTCTGCCGCGGGAGCGTGTGTTTCCGATCCAGATTGGCGGAGAGCTGTTTAAGCTGTCTGGCGCATCTCTCTCATCCGATGGTTCGTTGTTTGCGCTCCTCGAACAAGAGCCTTTGAGCCTTGGGCTGTTGCTGTGTTTGTTGGCTAACTCTCTTTTACAACTACAGCTCCATCATACTTTTCGCAATACTTTCTTTGCCAGATCCAGGCGGCCGAGCAAAAGGGCGAAGACCCGAGTACCTCGATCCGGACGCTCTACATCGATCGCGACCCGCAGACCTTTCGAGATATTGCGCTGCATCTACAAGGATACTATGTGATACCGCGAGACGGGACGCACTTTGTGCGCTTGTTTGCAGATGCTCAGTTCTATAACCGTATGCTTTATTGTTTTCTTCGGCGGAGTGTTTACCAACGCGTTTTGTTTATACGGCAAGCTTTGCTGACTTGACCTGCAGTCCCCAAGCTCATCTCTCAACTCAACGAGGAGAGCATCTTCATGTCCATCGGCCATCGCGAATTCCAGATTCCCCGTGACGTCCTCAACGACCCTGCCAACTCGCCCAACTACTTCTCGCTCGGCTTCGCCCTCTTCTTCTCCCAGCCAAACGACCTCTTCCCCGGCCTCGACCGCGAGGGCCTGATACGCCCGCCGTCTATTCTCCCGCCGTCGGTGCCTAATCGCAACGCCGACACCTTTGCCGAGCTGCTTCGGCTGCTGCGCGGATATCCCGTCAATATCCGCGACGAAAACCATCGCCAAGAACTCCTCCGCGACGCTCGATATTTCCACTTCAAGGGTATAGAGCAGCAGCTCATCCCCCATTCCATCAGCTTCAACCCCTTGCGCCTCATCGACGAGATTATCCTGCGGTTGGAGAATGTACAAAAGAGTGGCGTCAGTGTTCCGCCGGCCGAGGAAATCAGCGACGGCCAAACCATCTCTTCGGGGCGGCATGTCAATTACGCTCGCCCATACGTAGACAGCAAGCCAGCCGAGCTGATATTGGAGATTGGAGAGACGACAACGATGCTCAAGTTCTCCGCCAATGGCGTCAAGGCAGAATTCTTCGGCCGCACGAAAACCAGGGTAGCCAAACTCCTCGAAGTAGTCGCGACAAAGCTCAGTCTGCCCCTGACCACACAACCATTGGGCGTCCTCATGGCCTCCGGGGGCGCCGGCTCACAACCACCCACGCCGGGACACACCCCTCTCAGTGAGGACCTCGTCCGAGTCATCTTCGAGGCCGAATCCTCAGTCACCCTCGACGGCGAAGAGTACGGCGAAGACCTGAGCAACTACTCTCCGCCCGAAGACGCCCCTGCCATCCCGTCCGACACTGAGCCCGCCCGGAATCCTAGGAAGCGCCGGCGGACCGAGGATGACAGCATCGAGGACGTCGGCGGTGCTCTTCCCAGCGAGGGCCAGGAATGGGCTGTCAAGACGGGCCAGTTTAGGCTGCGGATACAGGAAAGCAGGAGTGGCAAGAGTGCGCTTGAGTGCGTGTTTGTGGCTGTCAAGATTGATGCTGTGAGCTCGGAGAGGGGGAGGAACAAGATGAGAAAGTTTCTAGGTGATTAAACACAAACTCTACCTTTTCTTATCGATTTTTAGAACATCAAAATTAAGGGAGAGGGATAATCTTTTCGTTGTATATATAGTGCGTTAATGAATATGAGCCATGGATAGGATAAGGAGTTTTTCCTGAACGGTAACATCGAATCTCTTGGGGCTTCTTTGACAAACATATGTTGAGCTTGACTCGTTCGCATTTACTCGACATGAAACAGATTGTCATGAGATAATAATAATATGCGCCTAATTGTGCATTTAGTAATCGACTTTAAAGCATCATAACACCATACACGCAAAGAGAAAGCCAGTCATGAAATCTACAAAAATACGCAGAATAGGGACTAGAAGCCTTCATCCTCTTGTTTGTCATGTCACGAACAACCTATCAGAGACATGTACAAAAGAAATGCAAGACCTGAACAAGCCAATACAAAAACAAAAAACGACATCCAAAAAACACCTTCTTCGCCAGCGCTCAAATTTGGTCCCATCCATCCATCCCTTTTTCCTGTTGTTGTGAACGATATGATGCAATAATGAGGGAGATGTACAAGGGAAAAAGAGAAAAAAAGAGGAAATAAGAACGACAAGAGAGAAGGAGAGAGTGCCTCAATCAAGGGCAGGAAATGAAATGACAAAAAAACAGAAACTGGTGAGTGAGTGGTGGTAACAACTCTTCCCCCTGATATCGTAAAAACTCCATTCAAAGCCAACCCATACCCGGCCCTATGGACCATCCTTTATGTACCTTCCAATATGTAAACCCAAAGAGGAAAAAAATGTAAAATGAAAAGAAGAAGAAGAGGCAAAGCTTCATGAGTTTCTGGACCTAGATCTGCTCCCAGCTCTGCCCATTCTGCTCAGGTCTCTTCGGCTCATGGCAGACGTTGGACGGCTCATGGCAGACGCTGGCCGACTCATGGCAGAAGTTGGACGGCTCTGCGATGGAGCCGGGCCTCTGGTCACACTCCTAGCACGTCCTCTCCTCTCCTGAATCTTGGCCAGAGCTTCTTCGCGAGTCATGGTGGGATCCATTGCCGGATCAGTCGTGTCGAAGCTCGCGCTGCTGCTGCTGGATGCCGTTCGCAATCTCTGGCTGAAATTTAAGCTAGAGGATCGTTCGTCTTGAAGCGGGACTGTAGTCGTCACGGTATAGACGGCTTTTGAAGAAGACCGAGACGAGCCAGCAGATGGACGTTTCTGAGGCAAAGAGAATGGTTCTGGTTCTGGCACCACCTCTGGCTTCACATCCATCTCGTCTTCTGCTACCGCTGCCAAGTATCGCTTTAACCCCTCTTGTGCGGAGTTGTTGTCAGAAACCGTCGGGATGCTATGCAAATTGGGCAGAGAGTCAGCTTGAGCATTAATTCGCGGAGTGTCGATGAGCGACATGAGGGATGCTCTGCTTGGGGCAAAATCATAGGCTGAAGGCTCGACAGGTGGTGTTCTCGCAAACGTACGTTGATGTGCCTCTTGTTTTCCTTTGGAGGGAGACAACTCCGGCTCAGTCTCTTCGTGAGCCTCAATCACAATCTCCGCCTTGCGCTGAGCTTCTAGCTCAATGGCCTCTTGCTCGGATACCGTGCGGAAGACGCCCTCCTGGGGCAAAAAGACGGTACTCCGCCTGGCGCCCTTCCTGACCTTTGCCGGCTTCAAGTCCTGCTGCTGGGCGGGTGAGGGAACATGTTCAGGAGGTGCGCTTCTCTCTTCCTGGATGGTGGCCTCCAAAGAGAGCCTCGACTTTTGAGGAGAAGCACGAGGGAGCTGCATGGCCAACATGCTAGTTCGGCGTTTAGACTTGGAGGCAGGGCAGCAGTGCATCTGGCATTCGGCCTGCATGAACTCAATCATTTCTTGAGCTCGGTCAGCTCTCTGCCTTTCCCACTGCACCTGCTCACTAAGCTCCTCGAGTTCTAGCTCAAGAGAAGCCGACGAGACGACTTCCATGGTGGAGAGAGAGACGCGGGGGTCTTTGCACCTGATTGTCGATGCGATTCTTCTCTTTCTAGGGGGAGACGCAAACTCGTCATCCGCTTCCTCGGCAGGGAGAGGAATGCGTCCCTCTGCAGCGAGACGCGCAACTTCCTCGTTCTTGGCGGCAGTCTTGTAGGCATCTCGCTCCTGTTCCACCAGCTTCATCCGCTCAAGTGCTTGCTCGAGCTGATCTTGTAAGCTGCTAGCTTGGTATTTCGCTTCGAAAATTTCATGCTCTTGAGCGCGAGTCTTCTCCTTCTCCTTAAGTAGTGACTCTTGGGCAGTCTTTGTGGCACCGCGGGCAGTTTTGAGGTCTTCGTGAAGCTTAGTAATGGCAGATCGGGCCTTGAAGAGCTCCTGGTCTCGGGTCTGGCTCCTATCTTTTTCATACTGCAGCGATTCTTCGATCGAGTTGTTCTCGGCGCTGTGGGCCTTGATTTCCTCTTCCAGTTTGGCAATGGTAGCCTGAGCCTTCAGAGTTTCTTGCTCTTGAGCCTGGAACCTGTCCTTTTCATATCGTAGCGATTCTTCGATGGAGTTGGTCTCGGCGCTGTGGGCCTTCATCTCCTCCTGGAGCTGGGCAATGGTAGCCTGAGCTTTCTTAGTCTCTTGTTCCTGAGCCTGGCAGCGGTCCTTTTCATGTTGTAGTGATTCTTCGACTAATTTGGTTGCGGCGCGGGTGTTTTTGAGATCCTCCTGGAGTTTGACAATGGTCGACTGGGCCTTGAAGTTTTCTTTTCTCGCACGTCTGATTTCTTTTTCCCAAAGAGCCTCGGTGTGCGCATGTGTCTCCTTGGCGCGTCCATAGTTTTCCTGGTTGACACGGCGCGATTAGCAAGCCATCATAACAGAGAAGCATACACATAATAGGTATGCTGCACGGTGACGTAGTGTAGCGATGATGTCGATAATGCTGGTCTTGGGCATTTGCTTACCATGATGGTTTCCAATCGCTCGCCAACTCTCCTCTCCCGCTCCTTGCCATCCTCGATTTCCTGCCGCAAGACTCGCGCCTCCTCCTTCAGGCGCTTCATCTCGGCCTCGGCCTCCTCGCGCCCCAACATGGCTCGCTTCAGCGCCGCATCGGCGCTCTTGCGCTCCAGCTGCCGTGACTGCATGCTCATGCTGAGGCTGTTAAACTGGCTGATCTTGTCGTGCACCGTGCTGTCGCGGCCTCCGTCTCCGGCTGGCGGGCGGACGCTGGCAAAGATGTCGCGGCGCTGGTTCACGCGGTCGGGCGATGCCATCTGGAGGGGTCCACCAGCGGACGCGGGGGAGTTGGGTTGAGACGAAAGCTCTTCCATTTGCCAGTTGATGCCGTATTGGCAGGCGGTGGATGCGTGTGTGGCGGCGGCGTCGAATTATATAGCGCTGCGTCCTGGTCCCTCCACGGGATCCGGTTGTGTCACAGGCAAGTTTTGTGCTCTTGCAGGCTGTGGTGATGTGTCGAGCCGAAAAATGCTGGGGGGCCTTACTCCGTGCAGGACAGGGTCATGCAGTTGTGGGCTTGGTAATAATAAGGTGCCGACGCTGTTTACCAATTTCCAACCACAAAGATGGTGCCAAGTGGGCGCCGTTGCCGTAGCGACGCCCCGTCTAACAGTGCCCAATCCTGATTAGGAAATTTGTCCACTCTTTGCTCGATGCCGACGCCGGGAGTGGCTGTAGCCGCTGTTTAGCCATGGGCTCTTGCATTGTTTTCTTGCTTCTGCGAGCAAAACTGCAAGAGTTTATGGAAAACCCCAGGGGTGTCTAGAATAGACCAATCAAGTCACTTAAAAGCGTCAGCAGCGGGAGCTTGCTTGTCCCGATCCCGCCAACAGTGAGATTCGGCCACGATTTGACATTGTTGTACTCAAAGCATCATCTGCTGCTATACTACTAGTACAATCTCGAGGCCAGCAACAAAACACTTCGTCAATCATGGCGGACTCTGAACTGCGTCAGCGGAAGCCGCAGGATGCTGAAGAGCCTGTCCAAGCACCCAAGGCCAAGAAGAGCACAAAAAAGATCCGCGAGACAGATGCCGAGTCTCCATGGGTGGACGTCTTGCGCGTAATCAGCTTCCTATTCGTGGCATCCTGTGCACTCAGCTACTGGATCAGCAATGGCGAGAGCTTCTTCTGGGGCATGAAGAACAAGCCCAACTACCTGCGGGTGGACTGGTGGAAAACTCAAATGGTACCTACCTACCCATATAATGTCTTACTTTGAAAGAGACGTATAAGCCACCGCTAACCCAACCACCTTTATATAGCAAGGTCCTCTTTACCTGACCCCCGAGCAACTTGCCAGCTACGACGGCAAAGACGCCTCCAAACCCGTCTACGTGGCCCTCAACGGTACAATCTACGACGTCTCCAACGGCCGCAAAATGTACGGCCCCGGAGGCCCATATAGCTACTTTGCGGGCTGTGACGCCGCCCGCGGCTTCGTCACGGGTTGCTTCGCCGAGGATCGTACTCCGGACATGCGAGGCGTGGAGGATATGTTCCTGCCGCTGGACGACCCCGAGGTGGATGCCCAATGGACCACGGCCGAGATGGAGGCGATAAAGCAGAAAGAGATGGCGGATGCGCTGAAGAAAGTCGACGATGCGCTGGGCAACTGGGTCAAGTTCTTTGCAAACAGCAAAAAGTATCACAAGGTGGGGTATGTGAAGAAGGATAAGAATTGGCTGGAGAAGGAGCCTAAGAAGAAATTGTGTGAGGCAGCTCAGCAGGGCAGATCAAAGAGAAAGGACCGCAACAGCGAATATTAGACTCGATAATGAGGAAGGCAAGCGAGACAGCGGCACAGAAAGCATTTTTATTGGAAACCAATTTAATCAATTGAATGTTTACGTTCTGAAATTCTCTACGTTATTATGTCTTATAAAGTGTGTCATACAAAACTTGCAATGTTTAGCTATCGCTGCAGCTTCAACGCATCGATTGAAGCAATTGATCACGAGTCACAAAACAGGCCAAAGAAGAAAAGTTGTAGAAACAACTCCAAATTTTTAAAAAGGTATCCAGATACATTTACACACATGGTCCCTAGCATGCGTTTTAACCCAGGACTCTTGTTGTCCTTCCCCTTTCATAAAAACCTAAGGGAACAGATTACCTCCATCCCATTCCAGAAAAAAAAAAAGTTAAAATATAAAAAAACCCCTTGCTTGCAAGGAAGATGCATATACGAATTAAAGCCCCCCAAAAATGGTATTACAGATCGTCGTCGCTTTTTTTAATAGAACATTCCCCACGTCATGTCGTCACTCCATTCCCCATTTATAGCAGGGCAAAAGCAGCGCCCAGAACCAGCAGTAAGCTGGTAGAAACGCTGACAGATGAGGCGGCGTTCTTGGGGATACCAGTGTCGGTAGCACCGCCAGGAAGAACGCCTGTACCAGCGGGTGAAGAGGCGCCGCTGGTGACTGAGGGAGGAGGTGTGAGAGCGTCGGTAGGGGCAGCTCCAGCAGGAGCGCCGTCAGTGGGAGTAGAGCCAGAGCCAGAGCCTGCGTCAGATCCAGCAGGAGAGCTGGGGCTAGGGCTGGAACCGGAGCTTGGGCTTGGGCTTGAGCCAGAGCCAGAACCAGAACCAGAACCATAGCTGGGAGCAGAGCCGGGAGCAGAGCCAGAAGAGCCGCCCTGAGCAGTGGAAGCAGCAGTCCTGTAGTTGGCAAGAGAACGAGTGGAGTTGGCAGAAGTGCTACAACCTCATTGTTAGTATTTTGGTTTGACTGCGATTATATCAAAGGATACTTACTTCTCGTTGATCACCATGGACATGCCGGCTGAGCAGTGCTTGCCCTGGCTGCAGAAGATCCAGATAGGCTTGGTGTCGTTGATCTGGATGGTGAAGACGGGGATCTCCTTCTTGGCGGCGCCAGCAGCAACGGGCATGAAGCTGGACCAGATGCCGGCAACAGAGTTGTTAACCTGGGAAATCGGCGTGCAAGGGTGGTCAAAGTCGGACTGTGTGACGGTGTGGTTGCCAGCCCAGAACTGGAACTGGACCATGGAACCGGGAGCAGCCTTGATATTGTCCGGGAAGTACTTGGTGGCAGGCTGGCCGACCATACCGGCCATAGGGTTCTGACCAACGGAGACGACCTGGACGTCAACGGCTAGAAGGAGGGACATGTTAGCTTGATGATCTGAAGTATCATTGCTGCTTGCTCTCTAAGTCGGCTTACCCTGAGTGACAGCAGCCAAAGCCGCAACGAGGAGAGACTTGAATTGCATCTTGAATAAAGGTTTTTATAATTTTGGGTTTTTTTTTGTTCTGAAAAATAGGCCGGCCTTAAAGAGAGAAAGTACCAGACTTCCCAAATAAAACCAAGAGAGAGAAAAGGGAAAGGAAAGGAAAAAAACAAGATTAGTGTTTTTTGAATAGGTTAAAGAAGGGAAAATTGAATAGCGATAGAACCAGCAAAGGACTAGCCTCTGAATTGTGTAAATGTAAACTGGATAGAAAAGAAGAGAAGAGAAAGTAAGGAGACAAAAGGAACCCCACGGACAAACAGAAGAACGATGGTTGAAGAAGAGGAAGAAACAAAAGAAACGGAAACATGAAGGCTTTTAATCTCCAGGCTCGTCTCTCTCGCCGTCCGCATTAGCGTCCGGGCACCTTGTCGACGGGGAACGTGGTCGTGGGCTAGGAGGCGCCCATCACAACTCCTCAAACCACGGGGCATGGCTTCAGTTGGGCGCCGCCCATAGCGTGTATGAGAGTCGTTTGGCCATAGACGCTGGCCTCGACGGGCTTGGGTCCAGACGCATGGGCGCAGCTCAATCGGGAACGCGAAACGCCGTGCCCCAGAAACAGTCCCTACAAGTACCAAGGCATGCCGTCCACTTCGATCCATCCCAGCTGTAAGCATCTTGCTAACCTCAACTTGGCCCGCAGATGGACCCTGCCGCCAGCCAGGTAGCTCGCCAGCTTCGGATAGCAGCTCTCCTCGCCATGGGGTCAATAGCCCTGGAGGGCCTAATGAGATCAATCTCTCAGGCTGCCTAGCTGTCATGCGCCGGGCAAAGCTGCACCCGGAATTGCGTTCGTTGCAGGCAGGCCGCGCCACACCTAATCTGGAGGGGCCAGGGCCGGGGTCTGGAGGTGAAGCTGCTTCATGTCGAGCGTCTCCGACACAAGCGAGACGTGGGCGGTTTCAGTTCAGCCAAAGGAGCCGCATGGCCTCGCTGCCAAATTCCATGTTGATAGGCCTGATGTTTCTAACAGCTTTGAAACAATCTTCCATCTTTTATCGAAATTGGATCCGTAACTGGATTTTTCTTTTTCTTTTTTTAACCCATTGGCGTTGGCGTCAAAGTGCTATTGTCAATTGGCCAGTGGTAGTGTTGTAGACGCCACAAAACCCCTGCTGTATAAAATCCGCAGAAATCCAAGCTATCCGCACCCTGGTGAAACGTCTAGTTAACCGACCGCCATCCACTCGGACAAGCCACTATCCGCGCTCTGCCAAAACAGCCAGGGCAGATGACAACAACTCACCGCGCTTGAAATTAAAACATTTCTCGAGATCCATTATGATAAGAGACAAGGATGAAAATTTCTGTGCGTCGGCTGAATTGCAGCGGTTCTTGGTCGAGCTAGGTGTTCGATTGTTCGACTACCAATAAGCAGCCGTAAGTTCGAGGTCTCGTGAAGTGACATTGTATATAAAATCACTTGAAAATTAGAGCTCCATGGTCTTCCTTTTCTCTCTCATATAAGACATGATATATCACGTTTAACCTCCAATTATAGCTTAGAGGACAACGTTTTCCATTAAAAGTCCATCCAGAACATGTCCACACCATAAAGATACGAGTCGGAGATTACGTATTTGACGTATGCATCTTTTTAGACAGACGATTATGCATCAAACTAACACCGGAAACATTGCGTTTCATGCAGGCCGTCTTCCCTCGCAGGGCCCCCTTCAGAGGAAAGGAAGCTAGAGGCATCCAACCGGCAGTAATTTGGCCTCAATATCCGGTTGCAGTGTGAAACGGTTGCGGGGGGTTCTGTCTGCCGAAATAAAAAGACAATGCTCACCACGTGTAGGATCATGGATCTTCTCATAGCCGAGATGATACCCCGGAGAAGGGGAGAAGAGGACCAGGGTCCAGAACACATACACATACACACACACACTAACTCGCTCATAGGAACGGCGTAGTGATGGTAACGAGATAAATATGTATGCAGCATGTATGTTTCCCACAATGCGGGTAATGACAGTTGGCTCGTGGCAAATTAGATCGTTTTATAACTCTCAGAGATCTAAAAGCAGCTGGGGTGCGACCTTTTCCAGATCTTCGACCTTCAAAGCAAGCAGTTAGCATTGCCAATTCTTACTAGAGTGATGATCATGGTAAAAACCATTCAGAACAATCTTACCTCTAGAAACCCGCCTCGCTTTTCCACAGCCGTTCGCGCAATCGCCTCTCGAACGAAAACATCCACGTACTTGCCCACCGCTGCATTGGCGTCTCTCGACATTCTTGTGGCCTCCTTGGCGAAGAACTCGTGGAGAATCCGTGTCAGGAGGGCTTTCGGGATTGACTTTTCTGGCTCTGGCTCTTCCTCCACGTTGACTGTTTGGTTCGCTCTCTTTGCCTCATCATCGGTAGACTCGAATGGGTTGCTAGACTCTGAGGCATCGCGAGTAGTTGGCTGAGCTTTGCTGGCTTTGGCTGGCCTGCCGCGACCAGCTCCAGTTGAGGTTTGTTTGGGCGGCATTGGCACACTCAGGATGTTGCTTCTCTACAGTTCGCAAAGGCCACTTCGAAAAGGAGTCAGCCGGGCTGCGGTGGCTGCTGGAGAAATACAGGCACACGCAGAGAGGCCGCTTAAGAGGTAAGAGTTCAGCATGCTTGCATCCAAGTGCAAGTACAAAGAATGTAGGTGCCTCAGGCGATCTTAGTCAGCAACGCACGCGCAGACCGTGAAGTCCAAAATATCACAGCCACAAGAAGAAGAAAAATACGTCACAGATATTGCACAAGTCTCACATTGCGATGGTATCAAAGCATTGTTGTTTGAAATCTCTAAATCAAGGGAACTTGCATTGGTGTATAATTACAGTGACCTGGAAAGCACGGCAGAGTCAAAAAACGACTGATACGCCGTGCCGATGCCAGTCTAACCCGCAAATAGCAACTGTTACACAGGTCGGGATATCTGGCCCAACTTCCCTCAACACCTTCCATTCCGGTCTCCTTTTTTATCAACCAGTGGACGCCGCATTACACCCACCTGGCCAATTAAACCCATCTCCGAGGCAAAACGCACGAAGAATGTCTATACATAACGTAGAAAAAGCAATTTAACCAGAGCCACCGCTGAAGGCCTTGCCGAAGAGGAGGACCTGGAGCTGATCGTAGATGGACAGGACACCAGCACCGGCAACACCACGGAGAATGTTGGCACCGGCACCGTTGAACAGGGACTTGACACCGTTCTTGGCAATGATCTGGCGGGCGGCATCGAAGGAGTTCTTGTACTTGACGGCCTCACCGGAAGTCATCATCATTCGTCGTCGGATAGTGTCAAGAGGGTAGGCAGCGATACCGGCACCAGTGGTGACGCACCATCCGAGAGCGAAAGAGGCAAGGAAGTTGTTGGCGAGGTTACCGACGAGGAGAACAGGCTTGATGGAGTCGTACATGCCGAAGTAGAGACCACGGTAGACGATGATACCAGCGACGGAGGGCATGAAACCACGGTAGAGACCGGCAATACCGTCAGAGGCGAGGGTCTTGCGGTAGACATCAACGAGACCGTTGAACTGACGCTCACCGCCAGACTTGGCGGACTTGGCGTCGTTGGCCAGACGGGTACGGGCGTAGTCGAGAGAGTAGACGAAAAGCATAGAAGTGGCACCAGCAGCCTGGGAGAGGGCGTCAGCAACTGAGCATGTGAAACTGAGGGGTTATGGGCCAGGATTAGGGAGAGAGAAAAAAAACTTACACCACCAGAGGCAAGGTTACCAAGCATCCACATGCCGTAACCGTCACGCTCCTTCTTGAAGCCGAACATCTTCTTGAACTTGTCACGGAAAGCGAAGTTCAGGGCCTGGGTAGGGAAGTATCGGATGACGTTGGCAGTGTTACCACGCCACAGGGACATGACACCCTCATCGGCAGCAGTGCGCTTGAAGCACTCGCCAATGCCAGTGTAGCGGCGGTCAAGACGGCCAGCCTTGATCATCTCATCCTGTTGTAATAATTAGAGAAGAGGATTTCCAAAAGTCAATTGATCATGTACGGAGAGACAAACCTGGTTCTGGATAAGAAGCTTGACACGCTCGATGGGAGCAGCGGCGGTCTTGGAGACGGCAGCGGAAACACCACCCACTGTTCACGATATGTCAGTCCCGTCTCTTGAAATATCACGCAAACCGCGAATATCTATTGTGCTCAGCCGCTTAAGCATCGAAGAATGACTTACTCAAGAAGTCCGCAACGAAGGGCTGTGAGGCAGAGAGTTAGCGGTCAAGGTACATATGCGTAAAACTGAGCGAAATAAAGAAATTTCATCCTAAGCACGCTCTGGAAAACCGCTCGAGATTGAGAATGAGACCAGAGAGCCATCGATACGCAGCATTTTCAATGTCATCCAGATGGTACAATTGACGATGCTGGCAAAATATCTCTCGGAGTCGTCTCGGAATCTCACAGAGCGCGCTTTATCTGGAGGGGATGATTGATTGAGCAGAGTCGACTTACCGGCATGCCCAGGACCTTTTGCTTCTCGCCAGACATTGTGACTGAAGTATACACGCTTTCCCGAAAAAAAAGAAAGGATTGAGGGGAGATGGAGATGAAAGGAAGAAGAGGAGAACGATGGGGGGAGTCGAGCGAAATAAATTCTGCACCGACGGGCGAATGGCTTTTCGGGGGAAAAAAAATTGCGGCGGGTCTCCAAGGGGACACTTTTTTTTTCTCTCAGAGCGAATCTTTCCGGCCACACTAGCGCTGCAGGCTGGGCCGCGCTGCTTTTGCCTTCCACGGCAACGAAGCGCAGCGCTACAGCGGCTGGCAGCTTCTTGCAGCCTCAGGCAAAACGATCGCGTAGGGGCCGTGCCAGCGGCCTAACGCCTCCGGAGTTGGCACGTTCAGGCGCCCAGGAGATCTGCGCCAATTTTTTGCTAGAATCAAATTTTTTTTTTGTCAACTCCCTTTTGGGCTGCACTGTGCTGTGCCACAGCGCGACTCTGCCCTGTTTACACGTACCCGATTCGCCCCGATCTTTGGTGCCGCCGAAGCCACCCGCCAGTGCAAATGTCCAACCTGTCTATTCCTGGCGTCGCCGAGGCACCCATAAACCGATGGCAGTGTCAATCGGCTTGCCCCGTGCTCTAGGTATACGCTGAATCTTTGCACGCTTTGGACAATGCTCGTCACCGCTTCACAGTGCGTCAGGAGAACCTTCTACATGCCGACCTGCAGGTCCAGTTGGCAAACGAGAGTAAGAATGCGAGACGTACAAATATAGCTCGTCTTTTTTAGCCGCACAGTCTTGGGCCTTGCAGCCATCATATGGCACCAATGCTTAGGTCACAAGCCAACGCGCCCTAAATCTCGAAGGTGGTCATAAGTGGTCATAAGGGAAAAAACTTATCTTACAGGATTCGAAGAACAGGGCTTAGCGGACATGCCGGGCTGGTGTTCGTCTGAGGTCTGAGGTCTGAGGCAAAGACAGCTGCCATCCCGAAAACGTTCTTCCCTCGTGTATTGCCACACCGTCGACGCCGATCTGACCGGCCGTGGGAAGCCATCCCGCATACTCCGGCTCCACTGATTCAAGGGAGGCCGAAGACTCCAGCCTTGATAGCAGCAGACATGGGCACCGTCGGCCTTGATTCCAGCATTGCCGGTGCGTATCTGCTGCAAGAGACTCCTTATCAGGGGCACCGGGGCGAAGAAACCTCTTTCGAAATTAATCACTTCTTGCACACCCACCTTTGCTAAAATAAAGACACCATGCGCGTTGAATAAAGAAAGAAAAGAATGCATGTCTTCCTCATTCCGTAATGAGACTCGTGCCTCAAGTCCACATTCGTTCCTGAGCAGACGTGGCCTCGCATAACTGCCTCAGGATGTGGATCTTGAATAGTGGTGCCGCATCAAGCGGACAACTTCGCTGACAGAAAGAATTGTTATTGCAGTCTATGCTTGAACAAATTTAAATTATCGACATATAAAACTAGGTGGCATAAAGAAGATGCACCACAGTACGAGTGCGTTCCTCGTTATTGGCACTTTGGCCGTATACGAAGTCTCTTAAAGTCTAGTAGTAGCATTGCGAACAACCTCAAGTTTCACGTGCTTCAGCCTCTAAAAGACGGAGAAAAGAGGGTGGAGAAGGGCTAGGGGCGTGACTTACAGACTGGTAGGTCAATTGGCTAATACATGTACCCAATGAGAGTTGGTTGACAGCATCAGGGTCTAGCGCTACTACGAGAACACCAAACTTCTGGAAATAATGAGCTTGTGAAGTAACAGGTGCTGTAAACTATCAGAACAACAGACAAAGTGCTGAGGATGATATCAATTGCTCTAGGCTGAGTGTATTTTCAAATGCCATCTCTCACACGGCAAGTCGTAGTATATAAAGCAAATAAAGTGAAGACTGCCAAGGTGGAAATGTCACATACTGGGGGCATATCTCATGACATATATAGCATGGCATGCGGTGCATTTGATATACGATACTGAGTGCACTCTAATGACGGACGAGACGCATTCGTGCATATGTATCATAATATGGGTTGATAAGCTGGTAGCAGTAGTAAACAGTAGTGAACTGATAGTATTCTAGTATAGACTCGTCACATGAATTTCGTAACCAAGTTATGTGCGTCACACGGTTGTTGGGCAAGTTGCGTCAGTTTGGTCATTTTTTGAAGTTCTTTCATTCCGTAGCCATATGCTAAAGCGTTTCCGATCCCATGAAATGCTACACCGAGCATGAAAAAAGCGTCCCAACTAAGGTTTTTATGTACCTCATATCATCCTCTTCTCACATGGTCCTTTTTCCTTCTTTGAAAAGACCAACCAGGCGCCCAAATCTCAATGCTTTAACTTTAAAATATGGTGGTAAATTTACTCGCCGATGGCACGGGCTGCGCAATTGTTAGTAAACTCTTGATCATCCTTCATTGTGCGCGGCTTGGGTGAATCGTACTGTAGATCTTCATCTTGCTGTGGGTGATGACCGGCTTGATCATGCCCTTCTCCTCGAGGTCCTTGATGCACTGGCGGGCGAGGGAGCCGTTGATCTTCATTCGGTCGACCAAGACAGCGACGGTGACGAGGCGGTAAGACTGGACATCCTTGTACAGCTTCTCGGAGATGGTCTTGTCGAGGATGACGGCGTGCTGGGCCTTGTCCTTGACCTTGCCCTTAGACCACTTCTTCTTTTGCTTCTTTGCTCCAGCAGCGGGCGCCTATGAATTTCACAACATCAGCATATCTGCATAGCGATCCCGTCTCAATCATGGTCGGCGACGGCGGCGATGGTGGTGGTGATGGCATACCATTTTGTCTGTGATGTGCTTAGCTTGGTGACAGAGGAGTGGTAGAGGAAAATGGGAATTTTTGCCAAAGACTTGGAGTAGCCCTCCCGCTTCAACGGTTTGCCCACTTCCGAATGCACCAGGGCAGCCGAGCCCTAACCGAACGTGGGTGCAGGGTACGTACCTAACTTTTCGCGCGCTCTGATTCGCCCGGCGCACCCACCACCAAAATTTCCCATTCCACGCCAGCCCCAAGCCCGCCTTTAACCTCTTGAAAAATCACATCTCGACAATCAGTCCCGCCCCAGCACCGGAACACTCGACTGCAAATTAGCCAAGATGTCTGACGGCGGTGAAATCGAGATCGAAAACTCTGTCGTGACCGACGTCCTCCCCAAGGATGTTGTCAAGGAGGTCGGCAACGTCAAGCTGTTCAACAAGTGGGACTACGATGTCGAGGTCCGCGACATCTCTCTGACGTACGTTTTCGATACATTGCGAAATTGAGGCGAAATAGGAAGACAGAAAAAAATCCGAATATTTCGCCAAAGCCACCTCCCGAGGAGAACGTATTTGTGCTGATGGAATTGATCAAATAGCGACTACATTTCCCTGCGAAACCCCGTCTACGTCACCCACTCTGCCGGCCGATATGCCGTCAAGCGATTCCGCAAGGCCAACTGCCCTATCATTGAGCGATTGACCAACTCTCTGATGATGCACGGCCGCAACAACGGAAAGAAGCTGATGGCTGTCCGCATTGTCGCCCACGCTTTCGAGATCGTACGTACCTTTACGCGCCTCCAGCAACCGAGTGGAAGAACGACACAAGATTGTCAATTTCTACTCTGGATCTCACATCTTACTAACATGGATTCTCATCGCAGATTCACCTCATGACCGACCAGAACCCCATCCAGGTTGCCGTTGACGCCATTGTCAACTGCGGTCCCCGTGAAGACTCCACCCGAATTGGCTCTGCCGGTACCGTCCGTCGTCAGGCCGTCGATGTCTCCCCCCTGAGGAGAGTCAACCAGGCCATTGCCCTGCTCACCACCGGTGCCCGTGAGGCTGCTTTCCGAAACGTCAAGTCCATTGCTGAGTGCTTGGCCGAGGAGCTGATCAACGCCGCCAAGGGCAGCAGCAACTCATACGCTATCAAGAAGAAGGACGAGCTGGAGCGTGTCGCCAAGTCCAACCGATAAAGGTTGTGCGGTGGGTACCTGGCTGGATGGAGTGTGTGGCTTTTGGCGTGGATCAGGCATTTTTCAGAATTGCATTTTGCGTTCGGGTCTGGGAACGCGGACATGGATTTATTTCAGATGGCTCCTAGAGTCTGAATACAAAAAAAACATCTGGGCTCAAAAATGGGGCTGTTATGAAATCATGCCTTTTGTGTCTCTAATTTACCATATCTTTTCTTATCTGTGATTATAAGAGAGAGACCAAAACAAAAATGCGACATACGGCATCAAATAAAAGGGAATATCAATTTTTTTCGTTAACTATGAGCGAGAGCTCTTTATCTGTATGTGAAAGGTGATCTCTATTCTACTAATACACAGCCATCTCAAGGTGCCTTTCTTTCTTTACCCCCCTTGCCGTTACTAGTATATTGGCAACAACTACGCCAAGAGTTGAATGTCTTTTGGACCAATCTCTAAACGCAGAAACATTCCCACATGAGGGATGCCTTCTTCCCACCATCTGCCCATGCCCTTGTCCTCCTCGAATCCCCATCTTGCCCATACACTGGCGACCTGTTCTTGCGTATGAACGCAAACGAGACCTCGCCACTGCGGCGCCTCGGCTTCTGTAGACGCTCCCATTTGCTCAAGCCCCAGTTCCCTGATGCTCGGGTCGAAAAAGGACGGATTCTTCTTGATCCATTCGAGCGCATTTCTCACGAGCTGGCCTGCAAAGCTGTAACCACGGTAATCCTTTGTAACGGCCAGTCTCCCCAGCTTAATGTACGGCTCCTTGCCATCATGAAATGTCGTGGGCCGATCATGAACGAATTGGCGAGCTGACGGTGCACTGTTGCTGGTGGTTTTATCTTCCTCGCCTTTCAATACTCCATTCCAGTAATCTCCACCCGGCTTTGGATGAGGCTCATGGGGAAAGGGAACCATCCGAATTGTTCCTACAGGAGTGCTTCGAGTGGAACTCTTGCGTGGCCGCACAATGTCACCTTCCTCGTTTCTGATCTCTGGCACTTCGGTCTTATTGACGCTGACATAAATGACCCAGTGGCACGATCGCGGGTCATCGGCGTCGAATTCGTTGTCTCTGGGGACGTTTTGCTCTTTAACGAAGACCTCTTCGCGAACTTCCATGGCGTCGAGGAATGTCTTTGGGATTGTGGATGGAAGCGACTCTCGGGGAATGCCTAGCCGGAACCCTTCGAGATTGCTAGGCTCGAGGAGGCTGATAAAAGGCGTTCCCATTGCGAGTTGCTTGGGGGTTGATGGTTTGAACTTCTTGAGTGGTGAGGATGAAAAGACAGACGACCAAACGTTGGCGTTTATCATGCAGAATGCAGCTCTTCAGATCCGTCTTTGATGGAGGACGCTCATTAAAAAGGAAGAAAGAATAAAGTTACAGGCTGGTGTTTCTGAAGTGTGGGTCTATAGGAAACTCTTGGAATCTGGAGAATTGATGCTACGTGCCGCCACAATACACGTGGCTTTTTATCTTCGTTTGAGTCATAATGGACAGCAGAGAGTGAACTTATCTTGGAGCGAGAAGAAACAAGAGCGCAGTCACTGGTGCTGAAGTGAAGTGAGTCTGATAGGCCTAAAACGTAGGCGCATTGTCGATCAGTCCGCTAGCCAATTTGGAGCTTCATGCCGTTTGAGCTAAAACGGCCATACGGCGCTGCATCAATTCATTGGGATGCTTTGCACATGGAAGAACGTGTAATCAATTTTGTGCGTAGGGCTGTTTTGCCTACTATCACTTTTAACTGGTTTCAGGCTCTTTAGTTCGGGGTTTGTGCCAGAAGGTAGAGGTTATAGTATTGAAAGATTTTACGTTAAGCTCTATACCGAGCTAATGCTCAGCTCCAATGGGAGCAAAAGATATAGGCATCTAAAGCAACATGTTGAATTAGATCCACGGTCCAATTTACTACCCTCATGCTTATGACGTCACGTAGTATTCATTCAGTCATCACACGTGTATCGGTTTTCATGCAGTCTTCTGCGCTTACATGTAGTGCGTGCATAGAGCGGTTTGCAGTTACTATATTCTCTTATCTGTGTCTGTGTTGCATAAACAGAACATGGCACTCTTGTCGACACAGCAACGCTAGTAGCATGCATTGCGGTGTTGTGAATCGGAGATTATCTCATCTTTTGCTCTCTTTTATGGTTGTTAACTGCTCTGTCCATTGCTTGTGGACTTCTTCTGAAATTGTGCTGGCCCGTGTCATGGAATCTGTTCTACCGATTACACGCCTACACTACACTGAAGCAACAACTACTGCCTACATGTCGATATTTCATTGCGGCAGGCAAACGACATTAGTACCCTTAAGAACCCTATACTATCTAGGTTTTACTAAGTCTTCTTTTTACTCAAAACTGATTTAGAAGATTCACTCTAACAAGATCGTCTGCAGGCTCACGGGTAGCACGACCTTGAAACTACAACACTTCAGCCTAATAGCGGTCTGAGCACACCTGGTTCGATCAACTAACATTACACGTACAGACTTGCACTTGTACGAAACACTACTAATGTAATGCTACAATGTGAACGTGCATTACATGGAGTACATAATCGATAAGCGATGGGTTTGATTGCCAGCAAGGGTCAGGGGTAAGAGATCAAAAGATCGACTGCGGAATACGGAGTGCTTAGAGAGATTGCGATATGGAGAACAGAAAGGAGACGAGTGCTCCCGGCGGGCTGGCTCGATGGGGATTCTAACGCCAAAGGCCCAGGGTGCTCTGCTGATGAGATAAAGATGCACTTGCAAGAATGAGGCTAGCAATAGCTATAAGCTACATGTCTGAACATATAAAATATCTCAGGTGCCGGATGTAGAACGTGCTCGTCTACCCAGTGTATATGTATCCATGTAAGTCGGGGCAGATTGTCGATCGAAGTCCGTAGAAGAACGTGCTAGGAGTACACGTATACATCAATGTACATGGAATTTGATGAAAAGAGTGGCGCAATAAGGAGTTAAAATGCTGCTGCTGCGCAACGGCGAGACTTTCCTCCCGGTGTTATCGTGCTTTTAACCGATCCATGGTCCTAACCAATGCCTGATTGGCGGCACAGGCCATTTATAGTTTGCACCGAACAGGAGGCTGCGGCCAAGACTGCAGCTCCCAATGGAGTTCATTCTGCAGCTGCAGCGCGTTCGCCGCGCGAGCTAAGCATGGAGGAACGGACGTGCCTGGCAGCCAAACCTTGTCCGCGCCCTTGGGGGCGGCATCCACTGGAGAGGCCCCCCGTACCAGCTCCCCCAAGCCCCCCGTACAACGAGCCCACCACTGCCTCCTAGCGGCCATTGCAGCGGGGCTCCGGCATCCACCACCGCTACAACGACCGACCTCTGGTACCTGATAGCGGCGGCCCAGACGAGCCCATGCGCCTCTGTAGAACCCAGAGACACGACTTCAAAGCAGGGCCTGGCAATTTCCCCTCGTTGGACCGTCTGTCACTTTTTTTTTTTCCTTGTTTGAGAGTTTGGCTTACAGCCTCTTTTTTGTTCATTTTTGACAAGCCTTGGACGGCACGAGACATCCTGGTAATAGAATTCGCATCTTGCATTCTGATCAGCGTTGGGCGGATGCTTTATTTGCGCTATCGAATCGCTATCTTTCCCGCCGGCGTGCATAATTTCTTCGTGTTTGCTCAGGGGTTCTCGAACGGGCAGCCGCCCATCAACCGGCGTTTTGCAACAAACTGCACACATCGTTAGCCTTCTAGAATCTTTCCGTCTGCTTCACTTTTACTTCTCTTGCTGTAGGTCGCGCGCTGGCCCCAGAGCTTCGCTGTTTACTGAGCAT